TTAAAATTAAAAAAAAAAATTTAAGAGTTTTAATTCCAACAATATAGAAACTAAACTTTGAAAATTTAAATTGCAAAAATTTAACTATTAAATTGCTATCAGAAAAATTTAATAAAAATAAAAAGTAGTACAAATAAAAATACATTTTTCAAAAAATTTCTAATATTGTAAATTTTTGAAGATTTAAATGCGAAAATTAAATTTTTAACAATAGAAAAAGTATCAAAAAGCAGTTAATAAGAAACGAAACAAAGTTAAAAAAAAACGCAATTCCAAAAATCTCATAATTTTACAATATTTTAAGAAATATTTTATTATAATCATCAAAAATGTATTATTTAAGAATATATTGAGTTTAATATTTTTTATAACACAAAAAAAATTTTTAATTTAAACAAGTCGGAAAATATATAAATATATGCATTAACAATAAGTGAGAAAATATAAAGGCACAAACAAAAATTTTTAATTATACAATCTGCTGTTAATTATTATTAGAGCGCATATATATATATAATATTATATTTATTGTTATTTAATATAGTTATTGCAACTATATATAGCAATTAATACTGGGAAAAAACATTCATATATATATATATAATCAAATAATAATTAAATATATAATATAAAAATTAGCGAATTCGAAAAGAATTTCTTTATTTTGAATACTCAAATTCTAAAATATAAAATATATTGAATCCTTTTTGTGCTCATTTTAAACAAATTACGTGAATTTAATTAGGTTAAGCGAATCATTATTTTTGAGCTCATATAAATGTTGTCTGGAATTATAAAATATATATATTATCTTCTCTATATAATCTTTGTTTACATATTAGATATATATAGAAAAAGTAATAAGAATAAATGATGGATTTTGTAAAATAATGACGATAAGTGCTTTTTAGAATATAACAAAAGCGTGTATTCCGTCCTGAGAGAAAAGCAAAGAAGGAAGAAGGGAAGAATATACTATAATTGCACACAGGTAGACAAAAGAAAAGGATTTAAATTCCCCTAGTTATAGACTAGTGACTAGTTATATACATGTCATGTTAGCACTGTTAGGCTCGTATAATATAGCGCGAAATATAAATAATTTACACACTTTCTAATGAGAAGAATAATTAAAAAATATAATTATAGCAATAAATTTCGCATTTTTTTCTAGAAAATTATAAAATTTGAAAAAGTGAAGAAAAAATCATTTCTATACATAATTATATATAAATTCAGATATAAAGTCGGAAATTTAAATTTATTTATTGTTAGCAGAGATTTAAATCTATTTAGCAAAGACTCAAATTTATCTAGCAGAAATTCAAATCATGTTCATATCGAAGAAATATTTACAAAATATTTGCAAATATTTGTCGTTTATTGAAATAACCTCCGCAAAACATAACCTTTAATTCATTATCAAACAGCTAATCGAGAAATATCGCTGTTGAGAAACACGTGTTAGATCCTTAAAAAATTATCAAACGGATTGATGCAAACAGCAAAATCTTGATTTCTGTCAAAATATCATCATAATGGGAAAAACGTCGAAGGACAAGCGTGATATATATTACAGAAAGGCAAAGGAAGAGGGATGGCGAGCTCGAAGTGCTTTTAAACTACTCCAAATCGATACCGAATGTCACATTTCGATGGTTCATAATTTATTTGTATAATAAATCTGTTTCCTTTTCAATACATTTTATTCCACATCTTGGAAAAACATAGATATGGAAGAAATAACGAAAAATTGAAAAAACATTTTAGAGTACTAATAATAAGTACTAATTTTAGAGTACTAATAATAATTTTTAAAAATCTTTAAAAAGAATTAAGAATAATTTAAATATATATTATGAAAAAAAAAAAACGTTTTTTTATTTTCTTTTAGGAGTGTCCAAAGCAGTAGATCTATGTGCTGCTCCTGGAAGCTGGAGCCAGGTCTTAGCTCGCAAACTAAAGTAAGTAAATTCTTACTTTAAAAAAGATAGTAATACAAATTTATATTATTTAACACATGCAGCTGGTAATTTTTTCACTTTTCCAAGTTGAAAGTCAAATACAATAGTTTAAAGATAAATAATTATATATTTATTTTTTGACAGTGAGAACTACAAAAAGGCTTTAGAGAAAGCGATGCATCTCTTCCAAAAATTGTAGCAGTCGATTTACAGGCAATGGCACCCTTGGAAGGAGTTATTCAACTACAAGGTGACATTACTAACACAAATACCGCACAGCAGATCATTGCGCAGTTTGATAATACTCAAGCAGATCTGGTAGTGTGTGACGGAGCACCTGATGGTACGTCTTATGTCATTTGTCACTTTTGTCACATCTAAATATATTTATCTAAAATGATTAATGCATGTTATATTTTATTCAGTGACTGGTTTACATGATATGGATATATTCATTCAATCGCAGCTTCTATTAGCTGCTCTGAATATAACCACACACATCTTGAGACCTGGTGGAACGTTTGTGGCCAAAATCTTTCGAGCTAAGGACGTATCTTTTCTGTATGCTCAATTGAGGATATTTTTCCCTTATGTATATTGTACGAAACCCAGTAGTTCTCGCAATTCGAGTATCGAGGCGTTTGTAGTCTGTAAAGACTATTCTCCACCAGAAGGCTATAAACCACATATGCTGAACCCTTTACTGACACATGAGCCATGCAACTTTGAAGAGCTGACAGGAGTCAATAGATTCATCGTTCCATTTGTGGTGTGCGGAGATCTTAGTCAACCGGATTCTGACATGTGCTATCCACTAAATGTAAGTGTAGTATTATGTTTTATTTGTGAATCATAGATTTCTCTAGAAACAATCTTATTTTTTTGTATCTTGCTTATATATTTTATTATATCTTTGTTAAATCATTATTTGAAAATTTCAGTACAGAGGAAGGAATACAAGTATCATGAACCAGTGCAAACCCCATAGCCCCGCCCTATGCTGAGGCGTTATCCTTGTTAGAAATAGAAGAGCTGGAACCAGCACTTTTGTTTTTGATCATGACACCGATTTTGACGAAACCGACATCAGTAGAGCGATCGAAACTGAAAGTGCGACATCGACGGCATGGGTCAAGAAATGTGCATTTATTGATGCTGCGCAAATCGATTCTGAAACGAATACAACTGCAAAAACTACTCAGGATAAGAATAAGGAAGAGGAAACAACCATCGATGCATTACAGAGTTTGTACATATCCAAGGAAGCTGAAAATCTAGATAACGCTGAATGAAATAAATATATTATATTATTTTGTAATATATTTATTAAATGAATATATAAGTACGTTTATACGTTAAAAATATGTGTCTTTAGTTTTGTGATCTATTAATTTTTAAAAATCAAACATATCCAACTCGAAAACCTTTCATTTGTTTACTTATAATCAAATAAATTTTCTTCACATTTATGATTTTTTATAACACAATAATATATAAAATTTATCTAAACTTAAATAAAATTTTAAAAATTTCTTAAATATTTATTTATATAGAAGAGAATTAATATTTTTATTTCGCATAATTTTATATATAGATATTTATAAATGTGGACTTATTTTCTGATGTGTACCTATATAACATATAGCATACTTTATACGTGTATATATACTTTGTTATGATCGCACGAGTGATATTATTGACAAACTGGTCACATGAAATAGTAAACACCGGATTGTCACGGTGATAGGTGATTGCGTCTGGATATGTGGAAGAACAAGGTATTATATTTATTAAAAACGTGCCGCATATATATCGGTTTCGGAAAATTTCTTTCTTTTCGACAGACGGACAGAATTTGCCGATTTTGCAAGGAAACGTTCTGCTGTGCAAAATGTCGCAATCACCACGTGAACAAGATTCATCCTGGCCTGAACATCGACTGTTGCTTGTGCGCCTCTGAGTTATTGCCGGTACGATATGGCGAGTTCGAAAAACTGAATCTAAGGGACGAGGAACTGTTGAATCATATAGCAGACAAACATTTGCCGTTACGTTGCCAGCTGTGTGGTGATTTATACGAATCCAAGGAAGATTTCAAATCCTTCGGTAATTCCACGAAACGAATTTATTATTAATTTCAAAATCTGTGTGAAACTAATCAGCATAAATAGTCATCTGTCAAAGTCGCGAAATTGGAAGTTTTGACACTGAAGTTTGTTCTAACAAGTACAGTGTTTTTCATTTTTCATCAATTTTTATTCGTCAATTTTTGCGTAAATTTGTGTAAATCTTCCGTATGTATTAAAGTTGTTTTCTTTTCTCATCTATATTTTTCTATCGTTTATACAGGAAAAAATAAGAATAACTAAAAAATAATTTTTAAAAAACTTTTTCTATAATTTTTCTTTTTTTTTTATTTGGAAAAATAAAATTTGAAGAAAGAAAAATCACTTATATACAGGTGTTTCTAAACAAGTGCGAAAAATTTAAGAATGATTCTTTATTTATAAAATAAAAGAAGGAGTTTTTCATATAAATATATACACTCTTCCCGATTCAGCGACTTTCGGATCTATATTTTTCTCTTGCATTTATTTATTTATTTCCGTAGGGGGGTTAAAGGATTATTGAAATTAAATCTCAAAAATGAGATTATTTCATATTTTAAAATCTTGGCCGTGACCAAGTAAAATTTGGTGCCTTGTGCACAGATATTTAATTCTAACGAAAAAATTTAGTTTCGTTAGGATAACGCACTGTCTTCCGCGATTGGCTCTTATATACACTCTTTATACATTATAGACATATATTCTCTGAAGAGTACACCTCCTCTTAAGAGAGAGATAAAAATTAAGTTTTTAATTTTTTCTCAAGAACAAGTTAAAAAAATGAAATTTGGTAGATATTTTCATTAGTAAAAAGGATATTAATAATATTTTTTATTTAACCTTTCCATATTGTTATAATTATAACGATATGGAAAGATAAGGGAATGAAACTAACAACTTTTCTTCATTTTTTTATTACATTTTGTAATCGACCGGAATATGAACACCTAAAAATATGCGTTAGAAAGCTTAATTATTTCTTTAGAATTTTTTAATTTTATTTATTTTTTTTTTTTTGTAAAATTAATAGTTGAGTGAATAGTTTTAAAATATTAATAAAACCTCCTCTTTTTGAAGAACTCGCCCTGTATATATCTATTGGATATTTATTTATATATTTTTTCTGAGTAAACTTTAGGCAAGTGCAAGTGGTGGTCTCAACATTCGTTGACGTCGCCGATAGGTCTCGAGCAGAAGCTGAAGCAGTGTTTTATGACCGATTGCAATAACGGGTACACGCCGCCTGAGATCTACCGAAAGACCAGCACGCCGATGCTTGGCCAGAAGGCCACCTTCGAGACACCCTGCGTGCCGTATTTCAGCCTGAAGACGCCCAAGACAAATTCGCCATCGTCGATCAACGCACAAAAATCACAGAACAACGATATTTTCATCAGTGTCACCGAGTTTTTCAGCTTCTCCCACATCTCGAACGAGGACGAGACGACGCCCTTCAGGACCGCCAACAAGGACGAGCTCATCAGAAGTAATTCCGGCAGAAAGCTAAATATCATGGAAGAGCGAGACGAGACCGAGAAGATAACTGTAGATGAGCCGGTAGATATGAATCTGACGAAACCTGAGGGCTGCAGCCTGGAATTGCCGATATTATCGGACGTCATCTGCGAGGAGTCGGACAAGACGCTGGATGTTGTGAAGAAAGTGAGATTTTCCGATCAACATGAAACTATGCCGGAATGCAAAAGCTCGATAAATAAGTCTTGCGTGAAGATCGTGTTGAACACATCGGCGGAGGAAAACTTTCACGACGCTAATGAAATCTTGAGTACGCCAAACGTGAAGAACACAAAGACATAAGTGATGTAAAGCGAAGAACAACACGACGAAGATCGCGGAAGACATAAAGAATACAAAGACAGTCAGGTAGAGTCTCTTAAAAAGTATTCCTTCGTAAAACCTCTACAGAATTCTACAATTGGCACGCAAATCGTGCAAAATGACACGAAGAAGAACACCGAGAAGGAGAATCGAAATCCTGAAATAAACGACAGGGGCCCATCATCGGACCCGCGTCATCTACAAGATACCAACAGGATACTGATAACCGTGTTGATGGAAAGCAATTCGGGAGGATTGAGTACGGATCTGATGCCCCTAATTGATTCGAGTCTGAAGAAGCTACAGGAACTTGCATCGACGAATCAATCTTCTTTGGTTGAATCTACTGATGCTGTTCATTTGCGTAAACAAGTCTGTTACGAAAATGGAGATGAGTATCTCGAATGTCGAGAGCTATTCCACAAAAGATGCGACAACAGATAATCGACAGATCGTACCATCTCCTTCATTATCTATGCGGAACGTTAGGAACAATACAAGTAACAACGGATTCTTCGCAGTCGTCGCGCAAGCCATGAAGTACGCCCTGAAAAGTTTCTCCGGTAAGTTAGGGCCATCATACATAAATTGACATAACTGCATATACTTAACATAAGACTGACTGTATTATTTATAATTTATATCGATATTTTTTTGCATGTTCCCAATTTTTTCCATCATATATCTTTGTAACTAAGCCTTTAAATAAAAATTCTATTAATGTAAACTCTATTTGAAATTAACTAAAGAATGTAATTTTATTAATATTTTATTTCCACAATACTTAGTTTGTAAAATCTCTTTATTTTTAATAACTTAAAGCTTATAATTCAAAAATTATTATTGATGCCTCAACATTTTCACTGACAAGAGGAAAAATTGTCTTCAAATAATCCTATAAGAAACCGATGCCATTAACAGCAGACTATACAATAATTCTGAGACATTCTGTATATAAAAGAAATCCCATTTGCACACAATTCCTCTCTAGAAAGTTAGAATCGTTGAAAATTTCTCTCTTGAATCCCAATTCTAGGCTTGGGAATTTCAACGAACAAGACCGAAGTGATCGAACAACGGAAAATCGTCGCGGAATCGACATCGACATCGCAGGAATCGTCTGTCAACATCGCCTCGTCCAGCATCCAGCTTCGTCCTACCAAACGAGCCCGCGAAAATGCTGAGGTGTCTTCACGAGTAGATTCGATCATCGTGGATATCCAAAGCCCGTTAGCGAAACGTCAAAAGGGATGGTACACCATGATCAAAGGACGTCAACCGATCAATCGAATGCGAAATCGAACACGAAACAATCACTCGACATCATCTAGTGGAGTACAGGTCTTCAGTCAAGGATCTCTGACGGTAGGCGATACGGTTCTTCCGCTTCCTGCGCGAGCACATCAGTCTACGCAAACCGAATAATCTCTTTTTTCTGTTTTTTTTTTTTTAATATAAAGTGTATATGTTTGCAAATATATTAGACGAATTAAGAGAAATATCTCTCAGTCAGAATGTATATTTTGTGAAATGATGTCTAAAATTTTGTTTAAATAATTTTTTGATCCAATTAATTTTTTGTTATATTAATTCTATTACAGAGTATAATCGAAAAGAATTTTTTATTTAAAAGTTGCGACGTGTTACAAGTATTTATATATGTATATGATATATTACGCATTTTATATATTAAACGTTCGAAAATTGAATTGAAATGATATAGTGTAGTGTTTGACAGAAAATATTAAAAATAAATTACTTTAGATCTTGGAATATCTTGCTTAATTATTATTATTTGAAGAAAAGGACATGTTATGAAATGTTTTTTTTTATTGTATATATTATCTCTTTCATAAATATTGAAATAAACGTAAAATTATATCATTAAAAATATAACATCAAAGTTTCATATTTTTTTCATATTTTTCCGACAATATTGATTTATATTATTTAACATATAAAATATATATATAATAATTTGGAATTTCTATACTTATTTTTTAAAATTAAAATGTATATCCATTTAATTTAATCAGCTGATCATTTCATACGCATCATAGATAGCAGCACTGAATCATAGAATTTTATGATTGTATGATATCTGTGTGATTGAAATATATATATAGTCAGAGAAAAGCCTGAGAGAGGCCATGCCGGCGATTTTCGTGGGACGCTTTAAAGACCGTACAGCAGCGCCGTGCATCCACTTTAGGAATTGAAACTACGTAGCCACATCCATTTACATCCACTTTTCGATTTGTGGTTCACGTCCGTGCTAAATACATCCACTTTTTGATTAATAAAATCTAAAATCATTTTTAATGCACGTGTCCACATTTTATATTCATAAATTATAGGTAAAACATATATAGGGAATATATTTCGTATTTACATAAATAAATTAACAAATATATGCATATATTTTTTATGCAATATTTTTCATTTTAACATATATATTATACATGTATATATATATATATATATATATATATATATATGTATATACGTATATTCGTAAAATACTATAAATGAAAAAAATCTTGGGTAAGAAAAGACTGTAAAACTGTGACAATTAATACCCAGCAAACACAGTATATAAATGTTATATACTCAAGCATGTTACATGTAACGTATATGTTAGTTGTAATTTCCCACTCATAGATGTAACATTTTTAATATTACATATATTACATTGTAGTTATATTGTCATTATATCCCAAGATACCACTGACTTATCAATACATCAATGTGCTATTTGGTATATAACTACAATATAACTACAATGTAATATATGTTATATTCAAATGTTACATCTATGAGTGGGAAATTACAACTAGCATGGATGCTACATGTAACATACACGTTATATTACCTGTTATATTCCGTTTTATTATAGCAATGTAACAATTATATATCGGTGTTTGCTGGGTATCATCTCGTTTTGTTCTTTATTTGTTCTCTCTCTTTCTCTCGCTTCGATGAATATCCGGAGATTTTTAATTATTTATTTAATAGTATATAATAATTTATACGAATTTAAATGTCTCATATAAAAGATATATAATATATATATTAAAATAAAAATATCGCATAAAAAAATATATGTATGTATATTTATTAATTTATTTATATAAATATGAAATGTATTTCCTATATATGTTTTACCTATAATTTATGAATATAAAATGTGGACATATGCATTAAAAATGATTTTAGATTTTATTACTCGAAAAGTAAAATGCATTTAGCACGGACGCGAACCACAAATCGAAAAGTGGATGTAAATGAATGTGGCTACGTAGTTCCAATTCCTAAAAGTGGATGCACGGCGCTGCTGTACGGCTTTTTCAAGCGTCCCACGAAAATCGCCGGCATGGCCTCTCTCAGGCTTCTCTCTAATATACTTTATGGTCGATTGAATCGAACACATGGAATATGGAATATGAAACGAAAACATGCTAGCCATCCAATGCCATTTTAACCTAAAAAAAAAGAAGTAAAATAATTGTAACTCAACTTATGCAACGATTAAACTACAATTTGATACAATTGTTGAATGTGAAGTTATATAGTGATCACGTCTATTATTAATCGACAAAAAAAACAATAGCAATTTGTTCAGTGAATATTAAAAAGTAAGTTATAATTATTACAATAAACGCAGAACTTTTTTATCGATATTTCATTTGCTATCAAATTTATTAAATAAATACTAAAAATAAAAATACAGAATTATTTCTCAGTAGTATGTTTCATATACAATGTTTTATTAGATGTCCTACAATTTTGTATATACAGGGTGTATCATAAATCACGCATCTCTGGAGCATAAATTCCTCAACTCAAAATAAATCGAAAATAAATAATGACAAAATTACGTTTCAGACTTCATTAAAGAAAATAAAGAGAATAAATAATTATGACCAATGCTAGCTAATTTAGATTTATTAAATCAATCTTACAAACACCATATTTTGATTATGATTTTTGATCCTCTTCAGGTGTACTAAAATCAATTATAATAATAGTAATAAGCGCTAAGACATACGGGAAATCAATAAAGGAAAATTCTTACCAGTTAAATATTAAATCTTTAAAGAGTTACAATTAAATAATCGAAAATTTAGTTGGAGTAAAATTTATTTTTGTTTAAGTTGGAAACCATAACATAAATTGACTAATAAATAGATAACAAAAGGTTGAAATTATATAAGGTCTTAAAATAATCCAATATCTTGAATGCACGAATTAGCACGATTTAAAAGAGAATTTCTTGCTGTAACGTTAGCTTGTCTATTAAAGCAATTGCTTTTTAAAACTCAAACATAATTTTGTCATTCTGTATTTTCGATATATTTTGACTTGACGAATTTATTCCCCCGATATGCTGTATATTATGAATTTTTAAGATATTAATACGCACTCCTTTCCAGATTATCTGAGTACAATAAAAATGTCATCGTGGAAAAAAGCGGCAAAGGCGGGCCAGAAAATCCATCGAGAACGTCATCAGCCAGAAGAGCGCAAGCATCTTGGGCTATTGGAGAAAAAAAAGGACTGGATTGCCAGAGCCCGGAATTTTCAGGAGAAGCAAGCAACGATCAAGCTTCTACGGAAACGCGCTCTGAACAAAAATCCAGATGAATTTCATTTTCATATGATTAACTCTCAATTAGTGAATGGTGTTCATAGAGAGAAGGAGAAGGCAGATAAGCACACACCTGAACAGTTAATGTTGATGAATACACAGGACATCAGATACATAGCGTACAAGAGGAATATTGAAGCGAAGAAGATAGACAAAATGCAGAGCCAGTTGCACATGCTCGATGCAGTCAATGAAATACAGAATCAACACACCTTCTTCGTGGATGACGCTACAGAAATAGAGAATTTTGATCTTGCCAAGAGATTTGATACACATCCAGCACTTTTGTCCAGACGTTCCAATCGACCAAGGTTAAGTGCGATTAAAAATATGAAGCTGCCAGAATTGGATGACAAAACTATTTCTAAAATCGAGCAGAAAAAGCACATGGCTTACAAAGAACTGGAGAAAAGGATTCACAGAGAACGCGAGTTGACAATCGTGCAACAAAAATTGGAAATGCGCAGGGCGTTGAAGGACAAAAAAAGCCAAAAGCCAAAATTAGTAAAACCTGGTTCAAAAGATGCTGCTCCTATTTATAAGTGGAAGTATGAGAGGAAACGATGACTTGTTTGTATCGCAGTTCATAGTAATAAAGTGTTATATAATTTTATATTATGGCATTATTTAATTATGAATATTCAATAAAATTCTGCATTTGATAATTTATAGACATGCAGCTTTCATTGCTTCTGTGCTGTCAATTTCTTAATACATTGATTGATAATAATTGATAATTGGCAATAAATCATTTTTTGATCAATTTTACACAATAAGTATTTAACTCCATAATGATAAAAAAGATTTATTTTTTATAATTCATATTATTATAATATTATTATATATATTTATATATAAATATATAAAATTACTTAATAGACATCAGTATCAATCATAATTTAATTAAAATTATGTTACAATTATATTTAGTTTATTTCTATATTATTCATTGTTTCTTTTACTCTTATCAAATTAATCATTCACTTTCTTTTAGATTTTTAATTTTCTATCATATTATTCCTTTATTATTAATTATTTTTTTAACATTCTGCCATTACTTTTCTTTTGCAACAATTGCAAATCCATATACAATTGTAATCGTCATTTAAGATAATTGTTTCTCGAACAATATAATCCAAATAAATAATTCCGTTCTTCACTATTGGAAATGCAATGTGTAACATATTTGTTAAAGTTTACATATTATTGTATCTAACCTTTTGTGTGATCTATGATCCAAGTCTCTTTTATTGAAATCTTCTGCTTAATCGTTTGTAATTCAGTCGCAGATGCAATTTTCGGTCAAATTTTTGTTGAAATAATCTCACACATTTAGTTTTATAATAATAATAACTATATTCTCTATACACTGACAATCCATAATACGTTCTTTTTTTTCTGTCATAATATAGAAAACAAATATTATCTACACTATAAAATCATATCTCCTTCAGGCTCTTTCACGTCGAATAATCGTTAAAAGTCTTTTTATTATTGTATTTTTAAAACAAAACGCTCAATAATATCGACTTTTTTACTAATAGAGGAGACCGCGGTGTTGTCACCTTTTTTTCGATACTGGTTTTTAACAACAAAATAAATAATTTTAATGGAATGTAGTGTACCTTTGTAAAGTATGAATCTCTCTTTGACTATGTTTTTGGGTATTTTTGGTCTACATCACTTTGTTCAATCAGTATAGAGTAAAAATAACAAAGGTGTAAAAATTTAATTTTCAAAATTGCCGGAGCAGAGTGGTCACTTCATTCTTAAACTGGATTTTAAATAAAAATACGTAATTTCGACCATGAAAAACAATAAAATATATTTTATTAATCATTTTTAATAGAAAAATTTAAACATTTATTAACATTTATTACAACATTTATTAACATTTATTTATTTTGACATTTATTAAATTTAAACATTTATTAATTTTTTTTAGCATTTATTTTTTAAGTGTGCTACTTCATTATTATTATTCTTCTTCAACCAGTCATTTAACATAGTTCTTGAAAATCCATATTGTTTTGCGGCTGTTTGAATTTTAATTTTATCTTTTTTTACTGCAAGAACTGCCTTCCTCAGTTGCTCCTTGTCGACAGGAGTCGTTTTGCAATAATACGTGCGCGTCTTTTTTTTTTTTGCAATAGAAAAAAACAATGACATTTGCAACGGAAAATCATCCGGGTGAAGTCGTTGCTGTGATTTGGTGACGACTTCATCCCAGACACAGATTTCACGTTTAGTCGTTCATAAAATATTAGAAATAAACAAAAATAAAAAAACTGCACTGGATTTCTGTTCAGCAAACATTACTCTTTAAAATCATTTATCTACAGATTAAAAAAAATTTTAATATTAAAAATTTTCGATCTGCAAAAAATTTAATTTTTGACTACTGAAAATACGTTTGTTGTAATCAAAATCACAACATGGCATATAACTTTACTAAATTCTGTTGGTCATGTGGACATCATAAATAGCGTTTATAATATTAACAACGAGTTCACATAACATATTAGATTTCAAGATAACTGTAATGATGACTTCGCCCCGGTCTCCCCTATATTTATTCCTAAGTAACTTATTTTCTAACTTATATATCCGTTTTTCTTTAATTTTTGTTTGTCCTAATTAATATATATATATATATATATATATATATATGGAAAAAAGTGCAAAAATAACTATATTATCTTTCACGTTCGGGACGGTCAATGTTGTTTTTAAATTTTGTACAATTGTATAAGATACCACATTAACATATATATATAGAGGTGTCTGACATAAAGTGTCATACCGAAAATATACAAGCAGATTTTCCTTAGCAAAATGTCGAGAGAGGCCATCATTTTTTGTATGTTCCCAATATTTGCCATCATGTATCTTTATAACTAAACCTTTAAATTAAAATTTTATTAAAGTAAACTTTACTTGACATATTGATTGAAGAATGTGGTTTTGTTAATATTTTATTTTATTCCCACAAGGCTTATAGTTTGCGAAAAATCCTTTATTTTCAATCGCTTTATAACTCGAAAATTATTGATAATCCTCAATATTTTTGCTGAGGAAAAATTGTCTCCAAATAACAAGATTTACTTCTATATTTTCGATGTGACACCTTATGTCAGACCCTTGTATATATTTAACTTTAAAATTAAATTTTCAATTTTTCTTGTCAATTGTCATTTACGCGACAATTATATCTTCATTGATAGATTTCTATTGATCTTTTCTTAAAATTCTTTTTATATATTAATCGATTATTTCATCCAACATAAGTTCAGTCATATTCATATCACTTATTCCTCCCATTTCTGCCATTCCATTTGTTGTCAATGTTTGCATAGTCATCATTTCTCCTGCTGTCGTTGACTCTGTCATCGATGGCTGTTCATTTCCTGCCATGGACATTTTTTCGTCTGCCATTCTTGTCGTGTTATTGACGGGCATCATCGGCAACTCCATTGATACACTTATACAATTATAATTGATCTGCCAAAGTTGTTTCGTGGCATAAATGTCCAGGCGAAGGCAAGCAGTGATAGATCTACACGAAAAATAAAAAATTGCAGCAATATAAATGTCTAAATAGAAGCAAGATATGTTGATAGATTTAGTAAAATAATAAAAATAATTAAGAATTGTAAATTAAACTAATAAAAATTTTATTTAAACAATTTTGGATTTTTTCTCATTAATATGACAATAAATTTGCCAATACAGGATGTTCGATTTTAATTAATATAATCAAATATATATTACTGAAATTATGACTGTAACGAGAAAATATTTCATACAGAAGTCAAAAGGTTTTGAAAGGGAAAAAAGTTGATAATCTTGAATTTTAAGTAAGGTCGTTTTTCAAAGTTACTTGAGAAGATTGATTTAATTTTAAATAATAGAACAACTTTATTTTTTATATATAAATTTATTTTTTTGCAATATTTAGTATAAAAAGTTATAAATGTAAAATGGCCAAAAAGTAAATATTTTCTAAGAGTTTGTGCTTCAAAAATGTGAGATAATTTTATATAAACTATAAAATATTTCCGTAAAATATTTATTTTCTTATTTACCTCAATGCTTTTATACAAAATATGAAAGAAATTAATTGTGGTAAAAAAATCACATAGTGCTTATTTGAAGAAAAGTATGTATAAACTAGCAATTAAATATTTTAATCATAATTTCAGCAATATTCGACTACGTTAATTAAAATAGGCCACCTTCTATGAAGTCATTTTGGTAAAAATTGTAATCTTTGGACACCTACGTAGGAAATTGCTTCAACTCTAAAATGTTGATACATGCGGTCGAAAATAGGCAACCAGGAACGTTCACGCAAAACTGTAACGGTCTGAAGTCTGCAAAATAAATTTGCAAAGTATATAAAGCCGCGCTTATATAACAATTGTTTCTCTCTTTCAGTTTCTATATTATGTGTGAAATCTTTCTATTGTTTCGCTTTTTAATAAAGAAAATTGTGTGTTTATTTATTGCCACAGTGTTGTACTTATAGATGATTTTAAAAGCTAGATAAAGATGAGATGAAAATATGTAAATTCATCTTAGATAAGATAAAGATTATTTTATTTTAAATATATATAGATAAAAGATAAAATTATATGGCGATTCATCTAGATAATTTGTAGATAATGTTTTTAAGACCGCTTATGTAAACACAGTTATAAAAAATGTAAATTATAAAAAGACTATAAAAATATATTTATACTTTTATTTATCAATTTTTATCGCTTAAGTTCTACTAATGATTATTTTTATGTGCTATGATTCTAAATCAAATTATTTGAATAATTTAGTGAAGATAATCCTTTTTTCATCTAAAATGCACACACATATAGATAATATATATTTTTATTATCTATATAAAAATAAGATGACGCCAAAATTTCATCTATATATAGATAATCATCTATGTAATTTTATTTAGATAACAGCAAACACTGCCGCCAATATTATTGCACAGCGAGATATTAATCAAAATCACTCACTCGTGATTGTTCTGGTACTGATTGTGTCCGAACTCAACGCAACGTCTACGTTCAATCCATTTCTCTGATAAGTGAAATTCACACATACTGCAACATAGAAAGCAATATATTTACATATATACATTATATATATATATATATATATATATATATATATATTTATTTATGTATTTATATTTATATATTTATTTATTTATATATATTTATTTTAATTATAAAACATTTACCTGCTTAATGAAAAAAATAAAATGTATTTCTTGCAAATATACAATAAATTGAAAAATTTCTTTTTATAAAATCACTATAATTATAAGAAAAAAATTTAAATATAAGAAAATTTAATTTTTTTACGATTACAGTGAAAAAGATTGCCGACTCTGTCTCTTTCTGTATCTTCAAAATTTTACATTTTTAAAGAACATTTTATCCATTATTCAAGTGCAGTTTTGTAAGTAATTTATATTTTCAAATATAATTTACTTACAAATATATTTTTTTAAGCATAAGAATAAAGATATTTATCTTTCAAAAAATTATTTTAAAAATTATATACTATGTATACATAATAACTTTTTGCCAAATTACATCTTCGACGAGAAGAAAAGAAGTTCCGTATTTTTTTATTAAATAATGTATCAACTTTAATTTTTTTAATAACTTACAATCTTTCTTCGCTTTAGTATATAGGATTATCACACTTTGACAACAAGAACAGGAAAATGACATCGAGCACTTGCACGATTGTTGAGTAACCGAGATCGTTCTATAAATCAGAAGTCCTCTGGATGCAGCAATATCTAATAAAATGTTTCATTTATTAGCATTTTTTATTTAAATTTAGGGCTCACATAATAAAATAAATCCAAAACATCTAAAAGGTGTATTTTTTGAAGTAAAACTTTCTTAACTTTGACTTATATATACACATATTAGTTAAGAAAGTTTTGTTTCTACCCAAGTTCAATACTTTAATATTAATAAATATTTATAAATACCTAGATAACTAGAAAAATTTTTTTAATTTACTAAAATATTTAAAAAATCTACTGTTTTAATAATTATATATAAAAATATGTTATATGATTATATAAAAATATAATGTAAAATATCATTGCACTGACTTGCACGGGCAGTAATAGCTTCACGAATAAAACACAACCATATCAAAACAAGAGCACTGATATTGCGCGAATTCATATTTACATATTACGTTTATAGTAGTATAAGCAAATATATATGTTCTCTTTTCTTGCAAAATTATATTATTAACTTATTATTGAGTTGTGTATGCATGCAACAACGTTTCGTTTTGCACTAAACACTTTCTACTTTTATGCGTTCTGCTCGGCATTGTACAGGATGCAATCACGAGCTATTATAATATGAGCCTTTAGAAAATATCTGGAACATTTGTGTCCACTTTGTATTATGTGCAGGCGTAAAATTCACTATTATAATACTATACATTCATGCATTCAGCTTCCGTTACTCATAACTGAAACTATACCGCAATATATACAGTTATTATATAAAATATAGGATTTAAAAATATAATCAATAATCAACAATTGTTTTAATAAATAATTATAAGAGTTTAAAGAAAAATGCGTTATTTCTAACATATTTTTTTCTTAAAAATTATGTACATTGTAAAAAACTCTTGATTCTGAATAACTATAATTAAATTTCGATATTATGTGAATTGTAAGAATTTATATTTCAATAATTACACTGAAGAAGACCGCGTGCGGTCGAAACGTTTATAGAATGATTGTAAATTGCGTTAGTTTTAATATAATGACTGTAGTTTTATAATTTATACATGTAATAAATGGTAGTTGACTGAACATCTCGAATATTCAGCTCGATAAGTTGGCCTTATATTATCACTTTATGTACATTGTATTTAAAATATAAATAAATTTTGTTATGAAACATTTTTATTCCTCAATTTAATTTTAAATTAATATTAAATAATATGCTCTCTTTGATGAACAGAATCATAAATTGTCACTTGTTTTTGAATATAAAATCTAAAAAAAAACTAAATTCGAATTATAAGTAATTATTTAAATTTGTATATTATTCTAAATATTGTTTTATAATTGTATATACACATAGATATAATCACATGTTTCACATATTCTTCAATATTAAAAAATTATTTAAGGGAAAAATATTACGCAATATTTAGTAGATAAAAATATAATATATATATATATATATTCCTTCTTTATATACATATATAAAAGGCATGTTATTGATTCTCGAATATCTCAAAATTCTTTCGAAAGTCTCGAAATATATTATTGTTGCCCCTTTTCTACAACATCGATTATAATTATATCCTTGTACTTACTTTATGAGCGGACGTCATTATTAAATTTGTGATTTAGTAATTTCGATTTTATATAGTTTTTCAGTTAGAAAGAAAAACATGCATTGACTAGATTTTTGTAAAATTTTGATTTGTAAAATGGAATAAAATTGAAAATAATCGAAAGTTAAGATAGTATAATGTATTATTTAAAATATTTTAAAACATTTTGCTGTTTAATTATTTTAACAAATTAATAATTCAAAATTTAATTAGTAAGTTAATATTCAATTAAAATGTTTTAAAAGAAACAGTTATTTTAAGATGCATATCTGCTAATTAAATTTTCATATTAATAATGTGTTACAAAAGTAAAAGTAATATGTTCTAATATTTTAAACTGGATTAAAATATTTTTGACAGTTTTTATTGAGCTCAGACTTCGAAATAAGCATCAAATTTCAAGCATTATTTCGATACGATGTAATGTCAATAATCTCTAAAAACTCACCTTTAAAAAAAGGTAAAAAAGGCGACCAGTTAAGGGCACGCCATTAACAAAAATTATCCATTGCAAACCCATGTAGAATCCTATCCTATTGCAAACCCATGTAGAATCCTATAAAAAATTAATCATTGCAAACCCATGTAGAATCCTATGCAAAATTAACCATTGCAAACCCATGTAGAATTGTATTAAAAATTATCCATTGCAAACTTATGTAGAATCCTACATTGCAAACCCATGTACAATAGAATTGTATGAAAAATTATCGATTATAAACCCATGTACAATCGTAACAAAAGTAATGAAATAAAAAAAAATTGCGCCAAGTGAAAGTAGAAACTTGTACCAGTGGAAAATTAAAGTTGCAGACATATATAGAGTCGTATAATGAATCAGTAAAAATTTAAATTTGCAAATGTAGAATCGTACCATAAAAAAACTTATCTTTTAAAAAAAAAGATAAACAAGATGCCAAGTCCATGCGCCATGTGAAAAAGAAATAAAAAATTTTAGTTAAAAAAACTGGGCGCGCTGCTAAGTTTCAAAATTACAATGCACCTTAAAGTAACATTAATTAATTTAAACACAAAACATATTTTAACTGTAATGAGTTTAAAAGTAACAATTTAATTTTAATATTGTTAGAATATTATTTAGCAGCGCTCCCAGTTTTTTTAACTAAAATTTTTTTATTTCTTTTTCACATGGCGCATGGACTTGGCATCTTGTTTATCTTTTTTTTTAAAAGATAAGTTTTTTTATGGTACGATTCTACATTTGCAAATTTAAATTTTTACTGATTCATTATACGACTCTATATATGTCTGCAACTTTAATTTTCCACTGGTACAAGTTTCTACTTTCACTTGGCGCAATTTTTTTTTATTTCATTACTTTTGTTACGATTGTACATGGTTTATAATCGATAATTTTTCATACAATTCTATTGTACATGGGTTTGCAATGTAGGATTCTACATAAGTTTGCAATGGATCATTTTTAATACAATTCTACATGAGTTTGCAATGGTTAATTTTGCCTAGGATTCTACATGGGTTTGCAATGATTAATTTTTTATAGGATTCTACATGGGTTTGCAATAGGATAGGATTCTACATGGGTTTGCAATGGATAATTTTTGTTAATGGCGTGCCCTTAACTGGTCGCCTTTTTTTACCTTTTTTTAAAGGTGAGTTTTTAGAGATTATATCATTCATTTTTGTATATTTTTATGACCGGAATAGAACAATTATTAAACATGTTTATCTAAACTTCTTTGCTTAAAATGATGTGTACAATCATATCCTAGAATCCTGATCATTCCTCCTAAAGCACCCTATTTATATAAATTTACCCATATGTGTGTGTGTGTGTGTGTGTGTACTAATGTCGAGCATTTTTTATACATTTTCTATTAAATTTAGATAAAAGTTGCAGGATTTCGAAAAAGAAAAAGTTGACACAGACTTTTTCCTAAACGGCGATTTTCAAGGTTATTTAAAGGTCACTTATATTTTCAAAATAGAATTACCTTAATTTTTCTCATATAAATCGATTCCTCGCAATATTTACTATAAAAAGTTGTAAAGGTATAATTTTTACATAATCTTACATAAACTTCGAAATATTACAAATATTTTATTCTATGAAATATTTCAGTTTATGTAAAATTATGTTAACTATCTTTTAAATTATTCACTTTTAGCCATCTTACCCTTACAACCTTTTATAGTGAATATTGCAACAAATTGGTTTATATATATAATATATATATAACATCAGTTATTATTAATTGATGTTTACATTTATTTTTAGACTTACTAGAGCTCAAATGCTCCACATTTTTTGCAAAAACTGTTTATTCTACAGATTTCAAATATGCTTTTAAATGATGATTGAATATTTCCTTTTTTTAATTATTTTTATTATTATTTTTCAATCTCAATCAACTTTTATAACTTTATGCCAGCACGATACAAATACATGTGTCTTTATTTTTTTTATTATTTTCATTATTATTTTTCAATCTCAATCAACTTCTATAACCTTATGCCAGCAGGATACAAATACATGTATGTCTTTATTATTGTATCAACTCTTGTCTTTTCCATGTAACCATGTCTTCATAGTTTGAATTATCCCTTCATCTTCTCAATCTTTCGCAGAGATTTAATTAATTAAATACACTTCACACGAAATAAAGTTTGCTGGAAGATATACAGCAAACGATAACTGTAAAAACATGATTACGTGGAAAGAACAAGAGTTGGTACAGTAAAGGCAAGTAAGTAAGTACATGTAATGTATCGTATTGGCATAACGCTATATCCGCGGAGCAGATAATGTGGCTGTAGAGGTAGTCTGCAGTGCAGCTAATGTGGACGTAGATGTTGATTGAGATAATTGTCTAATATAAAATAGAATTTAAAAATTTAGTTTAAAAAGCTGTTGCATATATAAATAAAGTTTATTTTTTCTAAATTTGGAATATGTTTAATTAATTAATTTTTTAAGTCTATGTTTAATAAATTTTTTAAGTCTGTATTCAATAATTTTATTCATTTGATAAATACATGTATGTCTTTATTTTGATATGTTTAATATAATTAGAAATTCATTATTAATTAGATATGTAAACTATAAATTCATATATAATATTTGAAAATATATGTGAATATTTAAATTTTTATCTTCTCCTTCCTCTCCTTCAATCTCTTTAATATCAATATGTGTATGTGTGTACACGCGCGCACATTTGTACGTATTTATTTAATTATTGGATAGTTGAGAGTACTTAATTGATAAAAAATTATGACAATAATAATCCTTGTTTTTTTTTCTTATTATTTACTCAGATTTTTTTGTCTATCTTATAAGATAAACACTTTAGAGATTGAATATTTCAAGTAAACTAATTGTAAGTAAATTTCACATTAATGCATATAGATGTTTAATCATGAATGTACTAAATAAGTACACAAGACGAACAGTGAGTGAGTGAGTGAGAATGAGAGAGTGTGTGTGTGTGTGCGTGTGTGTGTGAGAAAGAGAGAGAGAGAGAGAGAGAGAGAGAGAGAGAGAGAGAGAGAGAGAGAGAGAGAGAGAGAGAGAGAGAGAGAGAGAGACGAGAGATTAGCCAACATAACCCCGCACGCTGCCGATCATGAATGTACTAAATAATACACAAGACGAACAGTGAGTGAGTGAGTGAGAATGAGAGAGTGTGTGTGTGTGTGCCGTGTGCTTGTGAGAAAGAGAGTAGAGATATATATATATAGAGATATAGATATATATATAGATATAGATAAGGAGAGAGATAGAGTATATATATGATATAGATAGATAGAGAGATATATAGAGAGTAGATAGATCTAGGAAATAGAGATTAGATAGATAGATATAGATAGATATATAAGATATATATTTTATCCAACATAACCTAAACTCCAAATTCCACTCTACGAAGAGACCGAGACCGCTACGCCCAGAGACCGATCAGACAGTCTCAGTAGAATGGAGACCGATCTTCCCACCGCAACACCCGCACGCTTTGCCGATATGGCGGAGCGCCACTATCGCCATCTGTTTTAAAACGTGCGAGATGGACAAAATTACCACTACATGCATCTTGCATGTGTGTGTACGTGTGATATATGTGTGCGCATGTGTTGTATACGTGTGAATACGTGTAGCACGATACTACTATTATGCGTGGTCGATGATGATAATGATGATGATATGAATGATGATAATGATGACGGGACGTTTCTTAATAGAAATTTTTCATATTTCGACTTTGCATTTATATATCTCTGCTTACAAATCACGTAGAGCAGAAATAAAGACACTTTTTATTATATAATTCGAACTCAATCTATCGATTAAGTCTATATAAACTCGAACTCGATGCTTCAGCCATTATTGAGGATTCGAAATATTTAAAGACTCAAATTCCGACTCGCGTTAAGATACACGGTGTCTCCGCTACGCCCTTAACTGGTCGCGAGACACTACCGTGTCTCTTGATGATTTCCCGAACGTCAATTATAGACAATCGATTGATGGGTATTTCCTCGCTGGGATATATAAAAAAAAATTTAATATTATATATAGTATATATATCATGGGAAATTATTCAATTACCTGAACCTTATCTGTAATTCCATTACCTGGACCTTCAAATCGAACCTCAAATGTCTTCCCCCACTGGAACTTTTAATGGGACAAAGTAAATTTTATAAGTGTAAAGTATTACATTATACGTGTATTAAATTTAGAGTTTGAGAATGATATATTTTTTAAGATCTCTTTACATCTTTCTTTACCACTGTGTTTTTTTTTAAAATCAAGATTTTTTTTCATTAATATACGTACTTGAACTTGAATATACCCACTGTTTCGCATGCAGAACTATACTTTAGAATATAATTCATTATTATACATTGTTTATTTATTATAAGCAATCCAAATTTGATAACTAAATAATAGACAAATCTAAATTTCATAAATGAAAATTTTTGAAAGGTATCTGCAGAGATAACTATACTTCGTACACAATTTTTTTCGACGCCAAGTTGTTGAAGAATATTTTTGAACTCATCAGTTTCATCACAGAGTTCAAATATATCAGAATGTCTAGCTTTTTATTTAAGATTATACGCGCGCAAATTAAAAGTAAACTTTGATAAAAATTGACCTTTGATTATTTTTGATGTAAAATAAAAGTAAAATAACAGAAATAAAATTATAAATTAATATTGCAAAATTTACGAAAATATTAAAAACGCTATAGGCAAATAAACAGATGTTTAATAAAAGTACATAACATGTATGTACATTTATTGAAATACAAATATATATTATTGTGATAAAATTTTAATTAAGTAAAAAAAAAGTACCAACAGTACCCAAGTTGTTCCCAAGCGGTCACCCATCTAATGTACTAACCCCGCTCAACTTGCTTAACTTCAAGTGATCGGACGAGAACTGGTGCTTGAAACAACGTGATATGACCGTTAATGAATTAATCTTCTCAGTTTCTGTAAAATGTTTAACGTAATTTGAAAATTTTAAAAGCAATTGCATTAATAGATACCATAACGTAAAACAGAAATCTTATTTATTACTTACTCTACAAATCGATTTGATAAATTAATTTTAAACACTTTTATTAGAACATTTTATGTTATATTTTAATGCCCTCGACTCGGGCACATTAAGTTTTCATTCGTTATTTTATTTAGGTCTATGGTCTATAATAAGTTGTAGTTTCCTCATTGAATCATCGCTTATGTTTCAATCGGATTTGAAACATAGCGATGATTCAATGAGGAAATTTTGTTATCGAAAAAAATTTTCTCATTGGACCATCGGTTAAGTTCCGACATACGACTTATTGTAGACCAGGCTTTAATCCTTTCAATGCTGAGTCTAAATAATAATTATTTTAAAAATTATATATATAAATATTTGTATTATTATTTTTCAGAAAATACAAATTATTTTTAAAATTTATTGTGTAAACCAATAATAAATCATATGGTTTATACATATTTTTTAAAAATAATATAAAAAAAAATAATAAAAATAATAAAAATAAACAAATAATATATATAATAAAAATAAATAATATATATTCTTAAAATTCTTTGCTTGTTTTGTTCTAGTATAAAAATGAGATTAACACAAGGAAAAAAAGAATCCTCCTATTTATAATAGAACATTAATAAAATCTTTATATAAAGTATAATGTACATTATTTATTATATTATAACAAATAAATATGTACAGGGTTTGTCCGGAAAGTAATGCGTCGCATTTTTTGTGACGCGACTATACATCGCAGAGCGATGGGACCGGTTGGGGAGGAAGGGGGGTACCCTTAGCTTTCCAACGGTAGGTCGCTCAATTGTTTCCATGCGCTTGGAGGGTTAGGACGGCTTATCTGAAACCTCTGCTTAGTGGTCGCGTCGAACTTGTGATGGAGAGAACGATAGAGCAACGCTATGCGATAAAGTTTTGCGTGAAGCTGGACAAAACCCGCTGGAAACTTTTGAAATGCTCAAGAAAGTTTGGCCCGGCGGACTTTTTTTATTTCCTCGGCTGAAAAGGGAGCTCAAAGGACAACAGCTCGAGTCGGTTGACAACGTACAGCTACTTCGACGGCCTCCCTGAACAGCATCCCAGTCAAGGAGTTCCAGAAATCTTATGACGCATGGAAATCGCGTTGGCAAAAATGTATTGACGCAGAAGGGTCATACTTCGAACAATTTTAAGTTGTTTTACCTATGCGATCAATAAATTCTTTTTTAAAAAAAATGCGACGCATTACTTTCCGGACAAACCCTGTATGCAAAGCATATAATTTATAATATTAATATTATCCATTTTTTTTACAAAAACGTTCTTATTAGAATATATCATCGTCGTCGTCGTCGTCATCATCATCATTTCCATCATCTTCGTCATTATCCTCATTTTCATCATCATAATCGTCTTCATCATCATTATCGTCGTCCGGAAAAACTTCTACTTGACCCAAACCACCTCCGTCTTCTGGTTTTAAAAGAGCTAGTCCATTTTCACCGAATCTAAGGCAGTCTAAACTCACCTAATCAACAAATAGGTGTACATTAGACATATTATTTTACATGTAATTAAATATTTATTTGATGTATCATATTTGATATATCATATTTTTCATATAAAATTGTACAATTTATACGTTAAGCAATTTATACAAAAATTTTTTGCATTACTATTTATTTACAGAAGTGCGTGTGTAAATATTCAACAACATTCTTTATAATAACAAATCCTTGAATCTGACCTTGAACACTGTCGTATCCTCGAATTTTCCTTCCATGTTGACACACAGATGAATATTTCTACCTTGGAAGTATATATTATAAAATTTGACGCACGCTCTCATAAACGGTATCCTTGGAAAAGGAACGCATATCGGTCTAGGATTTTTCCCTGAAAATATATAACAAAAAATAAGAGAAAAAAATATTATCACACAAAAATCGCCTCTCCTTTTCTTTCATCTATTCAATTTTATATTAAATTAAAATTCAAATTTGTATTAAAAGAATAAAAATTTAAGTATAAAAATACAGTAAGAGAAAAATATATATGTAAAATATAAATAAAAAATAAGAATTTAAGTATAAAATAAATATAAAAATGTAAATATTAAAAAAATTAAAAAGTGATAAATGCAAGGCCAACTTATCGAGCTGAATATTCGAGTTGTTCAATCAAATAACATTTATTTCATGTATAAATTATAAAGCTACAATCATTGAATATTAAAACTAACGCAAAAATACAGTCATTCTAAAATAAACGATTTAACCGCACGCGGTCTTCTTCAGTATATTATTAAAATATAAAATCATAAAAAAATTCATATAATGTCGAAAATTAATTTTAGTTCTTCAGAATCGAGAGTTTATGAGCAGTTGACGCGTGTTTCAATCCATCATGTGTAGGAAAAATGTTGAACCAATGTTCGCCTCAATATGATCTTTGATTTTATTCAGATCTCGAAAAGTTCGTCGTCGTTAATAAGCGAGAAATTAAAACATTCCGTAGGCGCTGCGATTAATAAAAAATTAACGATTAACGTATGTCGAAATTACAATATATATCCCAACAATTAGCGATATGCTTACCTAACATCGTCCTTCTTGACAATTTTAACCATGTCTTAAAAAAGTTATTGAAGATGACACACAACAAAACCAACAATTATAAAAAGACAGCTCATTATAAACTCTACTTGATCGGAGAGTGTGCGTTTATATATGATCTAATACCTATGTTTAAACCGTTAATATCCTATTTGTCTTATTATTATTTATTGTTTGCTAATTTATCCAAAATATCAAAATACGACTCGCTAAGTAACTCAGTATCTTTGTTTAAATTTAGCCCATTTTTTTGTTCTTTAATATGTAGCATCTCAGAAATGAGTCTTTTATAATAATTATTTTCGTTGTCCAGAATCTTTACATTATCCCAATTAAATGTATAGTGTTCATTTCTTATGTGTTCAGAAATTACTGAATATTTCGTTGAGTCCAACCTGATATTATTTTTATGTTCTTTTAGTCTCGTCTGTAATTGCCTCTTCGTTTGGCCTACATAAGATGCATTACAATTATTGCAACTGATCTTATAAACCACATTCGAATTGCATGGATGTTTAGTTTTATCTTTCTGTGCTTTAATAATATTATCAAGTTTGTTGAGACATCTATATTTTACAATACACTCTGTATTTTTTACCGAGGAAACAATTAAAAAAATTAATTTATTTAAAAAAACATTTTAAAAATATGCCTATTTTTCAATTCCAATAAAAAACATTTTGCACTTCCAAGATTTCAACTATTTTGTATTTTCTATTTCAAATAGGTTTGAACACATATTTTGTCCATCTCTGGATTTATCACTTTAATGCTATATACTCACCAGAAACAGTCCTCGTATAAAGGACTCTATCGTTCATCAAGATGTGCGCGGTGAAGCTAAACTCGTCGGGATCGTACGTGATGTTGACGCAGGCCTTCTGCTTCCATCTGTCGTACAAAATCCGCGAACAACATCCGCAAACACCACCTTGACATTCGCAAGGTCTGGTTGTAGTGACCGTTTCGTTTCCCGATTCTGTCAAATTCGAGGCCTGTCTCAGCAGCATCATCTTCAACTGTTGCATATTTTCCTGCGTTTCCGAAAATTCCTCGATCTCGAGTCCTCCATCGGCGATTTCTCCCTCCGTCGTACAGTTCCCATGAATAACTTCTAAAATGTTAGAGCGATGATGAATAGTAACCAGCGAGCGATCCGCTTCATCCTGTCTCGTCCTTGATCTTGCCTCTTGATGTTTAATCGAGGCAAGATGACATCTGTTCGAGATGTGCTCTTTCTCGGACGATTGAAACCTGACTGGCCGGTTAACGAACGTTCGTTCGCTGACCCCGATTTACGGTGAAATTTAGGTTTGGTCGTTTCATCTGCATTTTGTGTCATCAGTTAGAACTCGTTATAGCAAGATGCAATAAGATTCTTAGAAAATTGTCAAGAGTATTGCAAATATCTTCGATTAGTGCTAAATATAACGAAGATGAAGGATGTAGAATATTATCTAAAGTCACAAATAAACAAATTTATTAATTTGATTCATTGCTATTATGATGGCAAAGTTTTCGAAGACATTGTCTATCATTAATATAAGAGTGTGTCTTAATGAGATATGAAGTAATAGTTGCATGTATATATTTATAATAACATATTAATTGTAATAAATATAAATTTATTTATACATAGAACATATTATAATAATAACATCATATATATATAATTATGCAATTGTACAAGTATCATAGCTTCAATTGGCCGATATTATCTTCCTGTTCGGGTGTCAAACTCGAATTCTGATTGCTTGGTAGCTCGGTGGGATCCGACTCAAAGTTCACCTCGTCATATACTTCCGGTCCTGCCATTTCCGCCGGTTTCACCGCTTGAAGCTCAATGTCAGTATCTTCGGGCTTCATCCAAAAGACCCCGTCCGCGCCAATTTTCACGCAATCGAAATGCAAGATTAGGATCGGCCACCTCACCACAAGAGTCTCGAAATCAATACACGCGTGCAGATTTCTTCCAGACGTGTAGATGTCGAAGAAGCGCACGCAGAAGGATATGAAGGGAAGATAGAAAGGCAAACACAGTGGTGGCGGATTTTTAGCTAGAGATAATATAACAAATGCATAAATTGCATAAAAATATTAGTAATATTTAAAAATAATTAGTTTAAAACAAATACACTTTTGAGAGTCCACTCATCACAAATTTTGTGAAAATCTAATATAAAATTAATCTACTTTTTACCTTCTCCCTCTCGTCTCCATGAGAGATATTTCTTAAACTTTAGGAAATAAAAAATTAAAGTGTGTGACTCTCTCTAATTTTATTTATTTTATATGAAAATAATTAATTTAATCACTCACCAGATATAGCACCCGTGCTAAGAAGTACCTGCTCGTTTATTATAAATTTGATTTGATGGCAAACTCTTCAGGGATATAGGTGAAGTTGGTACAAGCGTGACGATCAAAATTAAAGGTGGTTATATTGATGCCAGTACAACAACTGCACGTGACGTTCTCGCAGTTGCATTTTACGCCATGGAAAGCAACCCCAGGCAAAGGGTCGCGACCATTTTCCAATTTGCCCTTTAATCCCAATTGTGTGTTCGGGTCATAGTACACCATGTCATATTTGGATACATCTGAAAGAAAATTGATGTTCTTTGTTGGATGCGCATTTTGTTTCAATATAATTTGTAAATTTATAACTTTAGTAGTCTAACAATTTTTCTCGTTGAATCTTAAGATTATTTTATTAATTGCAAGGATTGCTTCATTCTTCTCACCGATATTGTGGTTCCCAGTAACGTCCCGAACTATTAGGATTAGGAAGGACACGCAAACCCATTTGACTAACATTATTGGATGACAACCTTCACATAAACAACCTTCACGCTTCGATGCCAACAGCAGACTGGAATTGGATACGTTGGACCAAGAAGCTCAGAGGTGTCAAGTTCTTTAATTATGCATCAACTTTCCCTAGAAGGTAAGATCGGTACACTTGCAAATCGTTGCGACATAAATCAAATGGACAAAAAAATCCCTTTTCCTCATAAATATTTTATTTCAATCGATCAAGAAAACAATCCGCTACATAATTTTATTTCAAAAACTGAGATAAGATAATTAAATGTTTAACTGAATCTGAATATGGCTATATAAAAATAAAAGTTAAACAGACAATTAGGGATTCATTACGCTGTCCCAAAAACGAGTTTATTATGAGATTTAAAAATGATATTGCAATAATTAATCAATTAATTTACTATATTTTGCCGGTATTTATTTCTACTTATTAGTATAAAAATAGATATATTAATATTGCGTTAATGAGTCAAATTATTTCAGATTAATACTCCATTTAATCATTCCTTAATAATAATTTATGTTTATAAAAAGTTGATAAAAACTGAATACGGAAACAAAAGAATAGAAGACGCATAAATAAACGTAAGTTATATTTTTATTTAATTTGTTTAATTACAGTATCAATAAATAACTTAAATACATAAATCATAAATATTTCTTTGCTCTAAATAAATAACAAACTTAAACTAATCGAGCAAATTATTATGGCTGAGGTCACAAACAAATGTCTCTGTCTTATTATGTGTAAACTCTTTCAGATTTTCGTATTAAAATTTTCTCAATAGTTTATACTCTAAAGAATCTCACACAATACCTATTTGAGCTTTCTTGAAAGAAGCTCTTCCATCTTCGCTCTGTCGAATCTTGCATCAGTCTCCTCATACAATTTAATAAATACAAAATTAACTATACGTAAAGAGATAATTGTGACAGCGAAGTAAGCCGTTTTCTTATTTTTCGACAATAAAGTTAATTTATATTACAAAATTATGATTTTTTATATAATATTAATAATAATAATAATAGAAAATAATAATTAGAATATTATTGTCATCTTATTTTTTTGCATTATTTGTATTTACAATTAGTAGAAAACTTGGAGAAACGTAGAGACTTTTATAATTTTATTGTTAAAAAATAAGTGACGCTATCACAATTATGTATATTAATTCACCAAAATTTTGACGAACATTCCGCTGATCTGACAAAACGCTTCAAGTTTTGTCGGAACGGCGAATCCATATCAGATAAGAAGGACAAGCTTTCTCCGAATTATCCTACTGACTGGATCTCTGTACACTTGGAAGCCTTGCAAGTTTGCTTTGACGAGTTTTATTAGAATGCTTTCTGCCCAAAAAGTCCAATTCAGCATCGTAATCCTCATTATCATGTTTATCGACATTTGTTGCATTCCCCTTGTCCTTCCTACTCTTGCCGGCATCCATAAGAGCAGTCAATACGGCCTCTTCCTCTTCGTCATCGTCATCGTCATCGTCCAATTCGGAGAGATCCTCAGCCTTCTCATCATCTTCATCATCATCAATATCATACTCTTCGTGCTTCTCGTCATCTAATTTATCATCATTGTCTTCATCCTCGTCTTCATCATTCTTGTCCTCGTCATCGTCGTCAAGTGTTTCGTCATCATCTTCGTCGACATCCTCATCGTCATCATCGTCCAAAATATCATCGACGTCATCGTCTTCATCGTCCTTGATGGGTTTTTTCACAGGTTTTTCAGGATCATGAATTGCATTGATATTAGTAAACGTCACGCTGGGTTTCTTGTCGCCAACGACTCCCTTCTTCACTTTGTTGGTGATCGCCTTGTTAGGCTTCGCGAGATACGTAACTTTGTTGGAGGCCTCCGTGACAACCAGTTCCTGATTTTCGTCTGTATTATTCTCGGCGTTACTCTCAGTCGATCCCGTGCTTTCCTCGTCTACGACTTTACCGGGTTCCTGAGTACTGTCTTCGTGTTCTTCTTCGTTATTTTCCGATTCAATATTGGACAATTCCGGATCCTCTAGCGACGTCGAGGTTGTAGGTCGCGTTATAATCGGTATAGTGAATTCCAACAACGGCGCCGCAGTGGTAACTTTGGGTCTTTTCGTGGCGGTATCGTCGTCGCCGGTGAAGATATCTAGTAAAGCGCTAAAACCCAAGATGTCGTCGTCGTCATCGTCGTCATCTGACTCTTGCGGCTCGTTCGTTCCCGAAGCATCCGGGACAGAATTGAAGGAAGGCCTTTCTTCGTCTTCTTCTTCATCGTCGTCATCGGAGCCAAAGCCGAAGAAATCGTCATCATCGTCCTCCTCGACGGATTCCGCCTCAACTACCGGAAGTGGCTCGGCTGGTCGAAGCTTCAAACCGTCTGGACCAAATCTAAAATCACGATATATATTTATAATAATGTTTTTGCGAATATAGTTTTGCATATTAAATTTTTATTTTTTTTGAACGTGATTTTTCTTCTCTTTAAAATTAAAATAAAATAAAAATTAAATCTGTGACAACAATCGCTAGTACCTGAAGCAACTGACGCGAAGACTGGCTTCCAGTTCGGTAGTTGACTGTAATTCCAGACCGAGGCAAGCTTTGAAGTGATTCTTCGCGTCGCGTTGGATGGAATAAATTCTGCCGCAGAATTTAGTGAAACCACCCGGTAAGGGAACACATACAGGTTTCGGACTCTTCCCTGAAATTCATAATATTTTCTCGATATATCTTAAATTAATTTTTATTATTTAAATAATTATAATGCATCTATTTATACAATATATAGATTATTATACATAAAAAATAAAGTAAACCATTTTTTATTCGAAAATGTGCTACCAAAAGTACCTTAAATATATGATTTAAATGTTACGCGATATTCAAAATAACATATCTAATCTAAGTTAAGTAACCATTAAAATAAAAAGACATATTCGATATCGATATTTTCGAAATTGTTCACATAATTAATTTCACTTCAGATTGATAATTATTTTATAAAATATGTAATGTTAAATTTTTAAACAGCAAAACACACAATTGAGTTTTTTTTCTAATTTGTAGTAACATTCCATCAATAATTTATTATATTATGCAAACAAAATTATTTTGAATTATTTTATATTATTTTACTGCAAATAATTATTTAACGTTTTATATAAAAGAATGTTCTTAATATTATTAACATTACGTAATATAAAATCATAAAGAAATGCTTTTAGATTATAAACCATTTAAATCTAATCTATAATAAGTAATTCCTGGCAAAATATATATATATATATATATATATATATATATATATATTGATTTTGACGAAATAATCGACAAAAATGGTGGGGAAAGAACTGTTAATCATTACCGTTACTGAACGTACCGTTAACAATCGTGCTGGTTAATATGTTGTCGCCAAAACTCAACTGGACTGCCAAATTGTCACCTTTTAGATATTGTAGCGAAGCGCAACCTACGAATTTCAAATGCAGAAAGAAAAATTTCTTTATTATGAAAAAGAATAGTAGCATAATATATATTTTATTATAAAAAAGAAATTTAAAAGAATTATTTATCGTAATATATACAAGGTGTTTACGAAATTGGACAAACTTCTAAGGTATATTTTCTCAAGTCAAAAGAAATAAAGAAAAATGTTTATATACTCATAGTAAACAATGAGTGGTTACAAAGTTATAGTAAAACAAAGTGTATGTTAATGTTATTATTATAAATAATGATAAACAAGCAGAAATAACTCATAAGAAATGCTCAAAATGGCTGTAATTTGATTGAAAACTAGCTAGATTTTTATATGGATAGATTTTATAGATACTACATCAACGCATTATTAATGCTTGTGACATTATAATAATCCGGAAACCTTTAAAATAGTTCAACAATTCTTGTCAAACAATGGCTGGTCTTAACATAAACTTTGCTTTACTATAATTTCCACTTATTTTTGACTATGCATATATGTCAACTTTTTTCTTTACTTTGATTTGAGGAATGAGTCTCAAAAGTTTGTCGAAATATTTCGTAAATATCTCATATATAAAATAATATAATGGAACAAACTCGATCATTCAGGTCCACGTTTCCGCTACACACTCATTTTTCATGCAACATAATATTTTACTATCTTGCGCGATAATTACCTGGTCCTTTCAGCTGCACAACCGGTATGTGAAAGTCCCGACAGCAGTTGCAAATGTTCTCATTACAAGTGCAATATCGGTTCACGCTATCGGTCGCCTGTTTCAACGACATCGTTGACAGACCCATGTCGCCGCTCTTATTCGTGCTATTGGCGGCACGAGCTATTCGATGTGTCATCTCATCGCGATCTGAGAATATTGTAATAATATTACAAAAAAAGAAATTTTTATTAATTTTTTTCTTTATAATATTGCAATTAACATTAAAAAATTATTTTTTTTATGTAAGATATAATTGAATTTTTTTAAAAATAAAGTATAATTGTATTGTTCGTGTTATCTAAACAAATTTTTATATCTACCTTTTTTCAAATTTTTATTAAAATTATTGTTTTTATACGTTATTTTTATTTTAATTGTGTTTTTACTTTATTGCTTATTTTTTTATATTCTCCATATCTTTATCTTATTTATTCTCAAACTTATTCTTTTTTTTAAATCATTAAAAAATTTTATTATACTTAAAATTATCCTTACCGATTACTCGACCATAAGCCGCGAATGCCACCAGCAAGAGGATCAGCAACAGCTCGAAAATCGTCGACAGTCGCATCCTGTCGCCCGTTCTAGAAACAATGGCAAAAACATGCAACGCAATCATGCTATATTACATTTTGAAAAGCGTTTCGCGTGTGACGGCATGTTCCAATCTTTTGAAAGATTCCGATTAAAAAAAATAGAAATTGTGAAAAATACAAGAATTATACGCGCGTGTTGGCGCAAACATCAGAAACCGATACAAGTCAGTTCTGAATCATCACCAGAAATATCATTTTGCGATTGATTTGCCAATACACGTGATTTATCTTATCGCAAAAAATAGTTTAATAAAATCAACTAATCAATAATAGGCCAACTTAACGAGTTAGATTGTTTAGGATGTTAAATAATTTTTGATTAAAAACCATATATTGCATAATGTTAGACTAATAAATCACGTATACGTTCAACTGTACGACAGTCTTTTCAATACAAAGGATTTTACGAAACATGTTCTTAAGATAAACTTGAAGTTAAATCGAAGGACAGATTCTATATCTGAAATTTATAATAATTGACCTATAGCAGATTTATCTATTTTACTTAAAACACAGTAATGAGTATATGATTATTGTAAACATATATGTTAAATTAATAATACACTGATAGTTCGAATTTATCATTAGTAAGCGCATAAACCGACAATCAGATATCCTTTAGATGTCAAATTTAGAAAACGCCTAGTTTTGTGGTCCAAAATTCAAAGGTGTGTTGATTAATATGATGTGTGTCGAGTCGATAAAATTTTTTAACAATATTCTGTTTAATAAATATAACTCTGTAGCGCAACAATAATTTAATCAATCTTAATAACTACAAATTTTATTACGTATTAAGTAATAATAAAAATTATACGATTTACATATTATAAATAATTAGTAAGAAATGTTTTATAAATATTAATTAATAAGAAAAATAAAATATATATACATAATCAGAAAACGAGATATCTCTTTCAAAAAACTGCTTAATCGATTAACAAAATTTCTCTATTTAAGTCTTTTTTGAAAAATATAATATTAGTGAAAATCTAACTTGAATACACATGTTTTAGATTCAAATTTTCCGCGAAAACTTGTTTCATCGACTGAGCGACTTTTGAGATCATCACTCCTCAATTTTACGCAGCGCGTGTTTAACTTGTCACGCAAAGCGCACATTAAAAAAGTTCATTGAACGCGTATCCCTTTTCTCTTTCTCTCTTTTCTCTCATCTTCCGATAATTATCTCATAGTTATCGTCAGCGAACAATAGAGACACTCGTTCCGCTCGTCAATCGTCGAGATAGACCGAATAATTTTGAATCTTTCTGCTCTTTGACGTTAAGATTTTTATTTTTAATTTTTTTCTCAAATAACAAAATAAATTATTTCACAAGAAAAAAAAAATTTTCTACCGGCCTCGAACGCGAGTTCCTCTCTACGTCCGCGACCGGTTGACCTAAATCCCGGTCACGGTCAAAGACGCATATACATACGTCAGAGAGGCGCTACTCGAGACTCGATGGCGGACTTCGGTGGTACTCTATCGAGGAAACGTGAACCTTTACACGCGCGGGAGAAACACATTCGTGTCACCGTTATAGAACACGTTACATATGTGGCCAAGAAGACTGAAGATATGGAATCGGGGCTACGCTTCCTAAAGTCGATCGATCGATTCCGCTCGAAATCTTGCCCAGAGAAACGAAGACTCATGAAGAAAAGTGCTAGTGCTAGATCCAATTTGGTTCTTACTTCTAGAACTTTGCGTGTCAATTTGCACTCTTGTCAGATTCTACTAGTACAACGGATAGTAGATTATTAATATTTGTAAATGGTTAAAATATAACTTCTTGAAATATGAAGCAAAATTATTATCAATTTTGTATAATAAGTGGAGGAAATCTACCCAGAGAAATATATAAGCAATTCCATTTTCCACACATATAAACTCAATCCTAGTGACTTGATGAGGAACATCTTAACTCTACCAACACTTGAAAAGAGATTAAGAGTGCCGTATTTGAATAGAGTGCTCAGAGTTTCCGGGTCTGCTAGACAAGATTTTATCGCAATTTCGTTTTTTTGCAGTTTTTTAATCCTCGAAAGGATAGATTTTATTATATACGTGACTCTCTACCTACCTGTCGAGATCGTCGAGAAGAAGAAATCCAAGGAGGCGGCGTGCTCGTGCTCTCCCGTGCACCCTGCGGCTCTTTTTCCCTGACTCTTCGTCTTACGGAGGCCAATGTCCAACTGAAGATGCCGCCCAACTCCCCCCAAGGTCTCTTTAAAAGTCGGTCAGGTCGACCACCACCTGGCCTGCTCGCAGGCCGCTGCCTTAGGATTATTAAACATTCTAATGCGCTGCTCTAGGTAAATCAGAGATACCGCGGGCAAGACTCTTGCACCAATCGTCGTTCGCTTCCGATTTTTCGGTCGCGCCTCGTCGATGGACGACGAGGGACGTCGTTTCAACGATGAAAGCGGCTTTCCATCTCTCTTCAAACCGGTACCTCAAAGATTCCATGATGCTTGCGGATGAATGAAGATGTTCCCGAATGATTCAACTTCCTACGAAAATATCCGCGTGATAATCGCGAGTGGGGAGGAAAGAAAGAAGGGAGAGGGAGGGGAGTGTCACAGTAGCCAGACTTCCGGATTCCGACAGAAAAAGCGACAGGTCGTGACAACTTTTGCGGTACACTTATTTAAATAAACTCGTTTAATATGGTTCGTTGTGTTAAAAATAATAAATAATACATGGGATATCTCACGAATGTGTGAAAAATATTTATTAAAGCATTTTTTAAGGTCCTCTACAACGAAAGTCCAGAGGAAATTAATATTAATATATCTCTCGATCTTTTAAAGTTCTGTAAGTTATATTTTTTAGATTAAAATATGACGTCGAATGACGTAATTAGACGTCAAAATGACATACGCTTTCTACCTGGATATATGTCACGATTCTCAATCAGTATTGGATCTTATTATATGTACTATAAATAGATGTTAATTATTTTATTCATTATTTGTACAGCCTGTAGAATGAGAAACCTAACCTAATTTTAAATCGCCTCGATAACTTGCAATGCATCGACAATCAACGCAAGTGACACCCATTCTTTATTCGCAGAGTACGTGCAGATTGCTTTGACATCTATATTATCATACAGGCAGATTACGTGGAATTGTTAATTATTAAAATTTTTAAATTATTTGAATCTTTTGCAGATTTGTTATATAACTGAATTTATTAGGATAATTTATAGTTGAGTATAAAAGTAAAGAATAAGCCATAACTCATTGAGGAATCGTTTTTTTCTTTTTGTGTTGTATTTTTAACGTGCGGATATATGTGTACTAAATTCTTTTTATTTGATTATAAATAACGGAATAAGTAAATTATAAAAAGATAAAATAAAATAAAACATAAAACAATAAAAAAAAATATAAAGAAAACAACACACAATCTGATTATAAGAAAAAATTGAAAATAAACGTATCGAGTATTATGGATCGTCAGTCGAATTATAAGCTCAATTCTCCAACGTAGTTTTCAATTTTTACCCAAGATACAATCAATTGGCGACGCAGCCATAAACTCATGCGAGACGCGACGAGTTCGCGACACAAATTCTAACCGAAGGCCTACTTTCGTGCACGTTCAGTCCTCTCCGCGGGAGTTTTGTCTCGTCCGGGAGAAGAAAGAGGAACGACACGAGTGCAGCGCAAAATTAATGCTGGCTCTTGTTCATCGTTCGTTCGTTCGTTCGTTCGTTTGCCCCTCGTGGAATTCTCGAAGCGATCCACGTGAATCGTGTTTCGGCGGTTAAGGAGGGACCTTTCTCCGGTTAGTGGGTCGAAGAAAGTAGTGGTTCACCTTGGTTAATATTTGTTCACTTGACGCCCAGCCAGGTCATCGATAGCGATGGCGTCTACCGCTATCATCATTAGAACTCTTAAATGTCTATAATTGACATATTTGGAAATGATAGCGTTTTTCATATTAAAAATCGCGCTAAAATCAACAGAATAAATTTCATCACTATTCTAAATGACGATTCGATTTTCGGAGTTTCCCAAGGTGTCGACGAATGACATAAACGACCCACAAATATGTAGGTCATCCCGATCGCGTGCGGGAGACAAACGAGTTTTTACGTAATACCTCATGGAATAATCATCATCAATGGGATGCTGCGCGCCTCCAATTTCCGCGTCCGCTATTGCATCGATGATGAAGAAAACAAAAAGAAAGAAAGAATCGGACAGTTCCGACGTGCAGTCGCGCTTGTCGGCGCGATTAGATTTACATGGCGATTATAAGGCGGAGTAATCGCGTGTTCGTGACACTGACGTCTCGTGATGTGTGCAATTATAATATCTAACCAATAATCGTTTCCTGATGCGATGATTGACGACAGAGTAAATACCCGATTGCTTCGGGAGAAGATCGCTTCCTTTTGAATATATAATTATATAAGAATTAATCGCTTAGGGGAAATCGCGATCTTTTTCTTTGCTACTTTTTTTGAGGTCGCAAAAGATATTTTATTAATCTTCAATTTCATCCCCTGATTTTATTAAACATAGACAGTATACGTCTCTTTTCATTTGTTCATTGAAAAATTGTATTCTCATTTTTTTAAATACTTTATTCTACAATAGGCGTTTAAAAAATTTTTTTTATATTAAAAAGGAAATCCTGTAAAAATTAATATCAGATATTCCTAATTTAAAAAAATGTAGACAAAATGGGATTTATTTTACAGCACACAGACGAAGAAAGACCATTTAAACAAACATAGATACATATAACATAGATCGAGAGTAAAGCACAAGAGCTGGGTCCTAAACGATTAAATTAGATTATGTTACACATCTATTTAATCGTTAATATAGTTCTCTTAAGTCGTTCATTTTTTTAGAAACACTTAATAACTTTGTCTAATAATTTAAAATCAATCATTGACAAATAAATGATTCGCATAAAAAAAAAAAAAAAAAAAAAAAAAAAACATACGACCGTTTGTTAAACAATAAATATATTCTTTATTTTAGAAAATGTTTTAAAAACATTTAAAAATATATATCTATTAAAAGGAATGTTATACAATCCTTTTATTTCGAGAATACAATTTTTCCAACATACGTCTTTGATACAAAAATGCCTTCACGTGCCTATAGTAATTGAAAAAAGTGTGTTTTTATACTATTATAACAAATCGAAATCTATTATCCTTTCTTTTAAGGAAGAAATATCTTTTTGCTCGACCCATTTTAATAGTCAGTACACTTTGCTCCATTTTTTATCTTGGAGTCTCGTCTACGTGTTTGTCAAAGAAAGAAAGAAGGCGCAAGTGTAATCAATGGGCCGTAATCTTCAGTGATTTTACAGCAAATCAATAGACGGTCGATCGTGATTCTTTTTCAAACGGTGAAAGCCGAGAAAAGAGAGAGACAGTTCTCGCGTAGGAAAGAAAAAGGCAAAATCTTTCCGGCAGCGTGTTATTAAATTAGAAAACGTTCACGAGGAGCTTTTGTTGAGCGTGTTGGAAAGTACTCCCTTGCATTTTGCACGGAAATTTTGCGCAGTAACGCGTATAGAAACATTAGAGAGGAGCAAGAAGCCGGTAATGTCGATAATTAAACTCGAAAGTAGAACATTTAGCAATCTTACAAAAATTCCTCGCCGAACTTGACACGGTTATTTACAGGAACTGAAAATATTTTTCCCAATCTTCTTCCGATCTTGATCCTATCGCGGATAGAAGATTTGTGACAACATTTTAATGAACGCATATACGCCTTCTTCTTCACGGTGAAGAATTACGCGCGCGAGAGCGTAAAGATGCCCCGATGATGACAATCCTTGAGGAGGAAATTTCCAGAGAACAGAGGAAATTCCTCATTTCTACTTCTCTCTCCGCTTTCGACGAAATTTTGAAACCAAAAATTACAGATCTATTTAAGATCGTCAAAGCCTTCCGGCAATCTTGTTAAAAACCATCAAGATTACCGTCCTCCAAAAAGGAACTAGGGATAATGAGATCCTCCAAGAGTGGCCAGGTGTCCCCTCATTCGAAGCCCTAAGAGCGCGGCGCCATTGGCCGAGTCCCCAGTCGTGCTGGTACCAAGCTGACGAGAGAGGAAGGAGGTCACCCGGTCACCCAGATGAGGTTCCTTGCTCCCTCGTCGCGTCGCGTCGCGTCGACGATGCCCAGTTCCCCAGGGTGCCCCACTGTCTCGGCGTACCCGACCAATCCTGTCCTCTGTTTTCATGCCGACCGCCGAACCTGTCGGCGATCCGACACCCGCGGTACCGGTACCCCGAGTCCAGATTTAAGCTTCTTCTTTGCCGGGCAGGATCTCCGAAGATTCCTCTCGTCCGCAGTCGCGCGTGTCAGTGAATCCGTCCGGCTTACGCGCGAGATCATCCTGAGATCATCCGAGATCTTATTGGGATCGTTCACCGTCGAACGCCCCGTTTTGATCTTCCGAACGTAATTTTGGAGAAGACGCGTCATGGCTGTGAGAGCTACGATCTTGGTGCTGATGATCACGCTGGCGGTCGTCGCGTCCGCCGGATTGCTCGGTGAGCTTGGATCTGATGTTGGGACGCGCTGTGAATGAAATTCGATTGAATTTATATTATGCTGGTGATGCGAAAATTCAAATTCGCGCGGAAACCGATGACTCTAACAGCACATATATTCCGAAGACGTTCAGAGAACATCCTTAAGATGTTCGAATGTACTCTGGATATCCTCTGAATATTTTTCGAACATACTCGTATTGTGCTATTAGGGGACAGTCGCGCGTCGGAGACTTCAACGCTCGGAAGACGGGTGCACGGGGCATGTTTACTTTATTCTCTCATCGGGACGATTGCCATCGTTTTGGGAATCAATCATCTGATAAGCACAACAATTTATTACTCTTTATTACCATGGGAAATAAAATGTTTAATTTATTTACATGTCGTAAGTTTGTTATTAAAGATAAATCGTATTTTATATTTTGCTGTTTTGTTAGAGAATAAGCTCATAAGAAACTACTACTTTTCACTTAGTATTTACAATCTCTAATAACCTTAAATATATTGTCATCTATTCATCTTTAAGTAAACAAAAAATTGCCTTTCATATAAATCCATTTGAATAAAAGATTTAAATTAAGAAATAAATCTTTTAATTTTACTTTCACCTGATACAATCAACTTTAAGCTTTTCTTTTGTCTTTATATCTTATCTTTAAAACAACTGTTCTTAAAATTCATCAGTATTCATTCATCAGTATCTCGGTCCGGCGAGAAAGTCTGCCAAGGAAATCCACACATTGACACATTTAAAACCCAACATGTAGTTAAATCTAACATGTAGTATCTATTGTGGGCTATAAATGCTTTAAGTGTCGCCTGATTCGTCATCATGTCCGAGAAAGAGAGAGATTCCAAAGCAAACTTTTACGACGCAGTGAAACGTGCGTAGAAATTCGGCTTCCATTTGACTTTCGATCGACGGCGACTTTCGTTTCGTTCCGATTTCTCTGCATCGAGTTTCTCTGCTCACGCGAGAGTTTCTTATCTCTAGCACCACATGCACATCGCCACGTGTGTCTTCTGTCTTCTGCCCTCAGAGACCCTGCTCTCGTGGGATCTGCCGGAGGTCGAGGCGAGATCTACCACGTCACAATCCAAGTGCCTCTGTCAGACTTCCGGTTGTCTCTGCTGTGTCGACCTGAATCTGACAGCCGCGATCGATATAGGTGGCCCGGTTTGCATCAATCTCAGGCAGAAGGAGCAGAATGTGTCCTTGAACCTGTCTTATCGCGATAATCCCGTTCACAATGCGACGATAAGGATCGGCAAGTAGTCACAAAAAAATGTTATAATAATAATTAACAATTATAATAAGATAAAGAGTCTCATTTGCATTGAATGTCAAAATAAATCTAACTTTATTATTCAAATGCAATATTAACATAAATTAGATATGATTATTAACACAAATGAAACCTGTTGACCCTCTATAACTTTCGAATATAAATTAACAATTATATAATTTACAATTTGTAAACATTTTATTATAAAAAAGATTTGTAATATTTGAAGTCACAATATTTACATGTATAATATAATTTTACATATGGAAGTCCGTAAAACAGTTTGCATTTGAAGTTAAATAGAGATGAACATTACTTTTGGACATTTTATTTTAAAAAACATTTTTACATTCTGGTACCTTATTTTTGAAGAAAAATATCTTTTTATGGAACAGGATTTTTTATAGAACACAATTTTCTTATAGGAATTTTTCCTAGGAAAATTTCTCTTTGTTTTTTAATGTAGAGTTCTCTTCCTCTAATCAATCAATAGATCAGTATTATCATCAACAATATTTATTGAGCAAATAATATTAGTTCTTATTTGTCCGAGTCTAACAAAAAAATATCCGAGTTACAGCCAGAAATATTCTTTTGTTTCAAATTTTTTGCTCAAAGTTTTAGTTTTTATATTTTAGACCTATAATATTATAGAACAAATAAGAAAACAAACACAAATATTATCAAAAATATTCGATATATTCTATAGTTTGATGTGACATAGAAGCTATTATGCAAAAATAACAACAAAATTATTAAGTACATAAAAATAAAAAAAAGTAATTATTTAGAAATCTTTATAATTATTATATAATCCTTTCTTGTTTATATATATATTAAACTAATGAAAAAAAGAATCAATAATATTTGTACGAAATAAGCACTTTATGATTTTGAAATAAATTTGAACAATATGCATTCTAGTGTGAGAAACAGAAAATTACTATAAACAAAGTCCTTGATAACAATAGGGTGTTACGTCATCTTATGACGAAAAAAATTAAGATTTAAGATTTTAAAAATACAGATATATATGTAAATTTAAAGTTATATGGGGTTACAGAGGATTAGAATTGAAATAAAATTGAAAATAGAAAATCATATATAAACGTATGTTATTATACATAATTATTAATCTTCTTCTGTCTTTATATTTGGCACTTTCACACATCTAGCTAAAAATTGAGTTCGCAACCTTCAATGTCCGCATTTTTGCAGCGAATGCGGCCAATAAACCGACGTGCATGAACCTCCTGTTAGACGTGGCGCAAATCTGCGCGAGATTCACGTCGGTGAAGCAATCCGAAATCGGTGGCTACGATGGTTGCGTAGCAATCGAGCCGGTTTTATTGGACAGGGCACTAGCCACTTATCACATGGGATGCTTCAACTTCCATCAGGGTGTCCGGCAGGTGGAAATGCCCGCGTAAGTAGTATCTCTATGATATTCTCCGTCCGGAAGCTTATGTTATACTATCATAAAACGTACAATTAAGATAATCCATCCTGTTTTACGGTAAAACGATCATTTTTATATAGCCTTTTTTTCTATTGGTTAAGTAGAATAACAAATTATTTTCCATGATTAATGTACATATAGAAACAAAGCTAAAACCTATCGATTTTATGTTAAGAACAAAGAAATTTTAATTGTTAATTAAAAATTTTTTTTGTTTTAATTTTTAATTAAAAAATATTTTTTATTTTTAACATAAAATCAGTAGGTTTGCGTTTTATTTCTATATGCACTTTAATCACGGAAAAGCATTTATTATTCTATTTAATCCATAAAAAAGTGCGCAAATATGATATTTTATTGATGAAGCACATTTTTGCGCACTCTTTTTTTATTGATTAAATATAATAATAAATTCTTTTCCATGATATTAATGTACTTATAGAAACAAAGCCGGAACCTATTAATTTGATCTTAAAAACAAAAAATTTTTTATGCTAAAACAAAAAAATTAAAATTAAAATTTTTGTGTTTAACATAAAATCGATAGATTCGCGCTTTATTTTTATATGTACTTTAATCGTGGAAAAGCATTTATTATTCTATTAAACCAATAAAAAGGAAAGAGTGAGCAAAATGTTTTATCGATAAAACAGGACGATGTTTAGGATCCCCTTAATCTCAGCAAAATTTCGTCTTCTTTTTAACAAATCCTACGTAGCATCACGGAGACGACGGAACCCGTCGCCGACACGACGGACGACGAAGACGACAGCTTGAACACGGACGAGTTGATCGCCGCGGTGTCCGCCAGCGCTGAACAGGGTATCGCGATGTTCACCCAATGGCTGGGTCTCAATCTCAATCCGAAGCTGAATCTGACAGGCAAGGAACCTGGGCCGCAACCTCAATATCCGGATCATCAGCAGCGAACCCTCGATTCCTCGAGATCGGCCCGTAATATGGCGGACGACCAAATTAGCGAAAAAGCGACGAGCAGTTCAAGCAGCTGCTGAGCGCCCAGGACAACATTCTGAAGGGCTCGGCGACCATCGGCCAGTCCAACGGCATGGAGACCACCTTCGTCTACTCAAAGCCGACCGATTTGATGCTCGAGAGAAACGCGACCGAGGAGACCAAGAGGAAACTCGAAGCGGAAGTCGCCGCGCCGCAGCATCGGGTTGTGGTACCCAAGGACTCGAGGAGAGGAGGACGGGCGTACAACATTCATCAACACGTCAATGAGATCTGACGACTCGACGACACCTTTAGAGCTTTAGGATGCCGCACGTAGACTACTTGTACGTATGCACGCGTAGCTGGGCTGATGGAGGGAAGAGGATCGCTTCGTTCGGCTGTTGCTGGTCGAAGAGTCTACAATTGGTTACCGGTAATTAAATCTGCACGATTGCACGATCGTGATAATATATATATTGTCAATCCATGCAAAGATAGATAGAATTCTGGGAATCTACGCAATAATTGAACTGATAAAAGCGGAAATATAAATATCTTGAAAGTAGAGCAATTAATATCGTTATCGTGATCGATAAAAGCAAAGAAATAAAATTTTTTTCATTATCAGACCATACGATAAGAAACCAATAAAGAATTATTATTGATTGTTTCTTGAAGACTTCCAGCTACTTATGTATATAATACCTGAGAAAATAATTCACAAGCTTTATATTATAAAATGCTTCTACAGTTCTCTTTTACTTTGATAAGAGAATCCTTTTGGCGCCTATTTTAGAGCAAAATTTTAGACAAAAATATTTTAAAAAATAAGTGGAAAGTGCGATTTCCCTTATTGTTCGCGATATTATTCCATTCTGTGGTATACTGAACAATAACGGTTAATGTTTCTCTACTTAATTATCAGTTAATACATCGACGAGTGTTACTGGGATTCATCGCAGATGGATTTTGATTTCGTGAAAGCTGTATTTACTCGCCCAGCCCCGTTAGTATGATCTCTCGTGTTTGTGATCACGTGTTTGCTCCCGATTTCACTTGAAAATCGTTGCTGTTCTCGGGACGATACTAATCTTCTCGCGATAATTGCTCATAAATTCTTGATTACACGTACGTTCGATCCGCTATACGGTTTTAGCGAAAAAAAACAGCTAATCAGAATCGCGTTAACTCGCGATTCGTTTATCTTCAAAATAGAAAAGAGGAATTAAAATCACGCACGACGACACACGTGGAATTTCGATAAATAGATGTCGTTCAATAAACATAAGCAACCAGCGTTTTTCATTCTGTGTATATTTATTTAATTTTTTTGTGCGCATATACCAAGCATAAAAAATGCAAGACACACAAACGAGATACAGAGGTTTCACTAAAAAAAAAAAAAAAAAAAAATTAATTACATGCCAACGCAATCGTTGCATCATCATTTAATCTTCCGTTATTTCGCGCGCGGCGAATTATCGCTACTAATTTCTCCGAATTAATACCACAAATTAAAATATACAGAACGAGATAAGAAGCTAATGTGATTCCTCTACTTGCTACGAAATTGCATGTACTTTTCATGCGCGAATTCTTTCTCAACGCGATGCTAGAGTAAAATTATATACTTGTGCACATTATTTATGTAGCTTAAAAGTTGAATAAAAGTTGTTTGACGAGGGATTTCTTTCTTTATTTAATCCTTTTTTTGCATAATTATTTTTAACGCCATCTGCAAATAAGAACCAACTATGTTTAAATTTTTAATTATAAAATTTATATTAATAATTATATTTATATATTTTACATCAATATTTTGTAATAATTTGCAATAAAAAATTGTATTTTATTTTATTTGTTATTTTTAAAATTAATTAATTTGTTTTATTTCGATTTATGTAGAAATAATGAATAGAGACTATAGAGAAGAAAAATGTAGTAACAAATTATTAATGTTTTAGTTAATAATTTTAATTATATTTTTTTTCCTGCAATAAATTTAAAATATTGTGATATTTAATATTTGAATTTAATTCCTACATTTATTCATTATTTAGTAAAGTTTTTCCTCGATTATATGAATATGAACAATTAATATCTCTTGTTATTTATTACGCTTACTAAGATATTTACCAATTAAATAAATAAATGAGGAAAATTTTTAAAAAAATATTTTTCCAAGAATTGATTTTTTAAAAGTAATTTTATTAGAAAGAATTAATATATTAATTATTAAAATATATTTTTCTAAATATCCATACAATCAAAAAAGCTAAATTGTAAAAAATAAATTTATTCTACATTATTTCTCAAAATTTCTGTAAATAATATTTGAATTATACAATTTTGTAAAATTTACATATGACTTAAATTTAATACGACGACGATCGTACGATCTAAAAAGGGTCAATTACAAAGGACGACATTAATTAATTAATTGTAAGAAGTTTGGAAGACGAAGAATAGCTGCGTTGTGTTGTCTTGGAATTATATACACATGAGCGAATTATACCTTTCAGTTAGCGAATTATATCTCTTATATCTAACAATAAAATTAGACGAAATTTTTCGTGTAAAAATTTTTACCAAATTTTGTTTATATTTGAATCAGTAAGTATATGTCAATCAGATAAAATTTTTTAAATATATTTATAAGAAAAAAACATATTAAAACAATGTGAATTGGACAATATTTATTATCTCATTCACATGTAAAAAAATAATACAATAATAAAATATAATAATACTATAAATATAATTTAAAAAAGTTTTTTAAATCAATAAAATTGTTACAAAATTTTCCGTGCAAAACAAAATCCAACGAGTTACTGGATTACTCACTTAAGATAAGAAAGATATTTTATGTATAATTTTATGTGTAAATTTAAAAAATTATATAATTTAAAAAATTTTATTCTATTTAATTTTTGTTAATTTTTGATTATTCAATATCATTAAAGTAAAAATCAACCAACAATCTATCATAAATTAATTTATTATTCATGGTTCCATATTTTTTACGTGAAACAATATCAAAAATATTAAAAGTACAAATGAATAGATTAGATCAGATTACAGCTAAATTATTCGTAAGAGGTGTAACTTTTTCAAAATAATTATCAAATATAATGAGAAAATAAAATTAAGATAATAAAATCATTTCTTCATTAAATGTATAATAAGCTAATTTCTAAATTTGTCTGAATTATCTTTTATTATACATTCTTATAAATATTTCGCGAAAACATTTTATTTAATTGATATTGAAAAGTGTGTGTGTGTGTGTGTGTGTGTGTGTGTGTGTGTGTGTGTGTGTGTGTGTGTCGTCTTTAAAATAAAACAATTATACAAACTATTTTAAGTGGAATGTCGAATGTCTGACAAACATTAATCATATTTCGGAAAATTTAAACTAAATTTTCTTTTTTTATATTAAGTATTTACTTATTAAAATTCTTATACTTATTAATATAAATGGAAGAGATACTTCCGGAATTAATTGTTTTCATTTATTTTGCAGAGCATACATTATATTCGCAATGTAGCAATGTGTCATTTGGATTAGCGGCAATCCTAAATACTAATCATTATATTTTATTAATCGATTATACAATTCGTTACATCTTGAAAAATCGATATAAGAAATATATATGTATATCACCGTATATATATATATATATATTATATATATATGTATGTATAATTACTTTATGTTTTTTTCGTCGTCGCAATTATAAAAAAACTTCAAAAAATATTACAGATCGACTAGATGCTAATAATTATGTTGCTTCTATTTAAAGTAAACGCGTATTTCGATGAAAATATATATATATATATATATATATGTATGTATGTATATGTATAATATATGTATATAATATAAAGATATGCGCTTTTCTTTATATATGCGTTTTTCGTCTTTGTAATAAAAATATTTTTGGGCTTCATCTTTGGGCGATCTTCGTTAGTCTACGGCTAATAAAATTAATTCTGTTTCTTAACTCTGCGATAACATTCGGACTTTGGGTATCCTGAGAATTGTATGCCTAATTGCAAAAGCAATTTATGAAAAAAAATGTAGATACAATAATAATATTAAAAAGTGATAAATTTCTCAAATATTTGCATTTGTGTAATAGTAGTTAAAAATGATATATTACGATTGAATAAGGAAAAGTCCACTCATTATTATACTTTAAAAAAATAAAAAATTTATATAAAATTCGACTGCCCCTTTTTATCATTTTTTTAAACATCAGTCAGGTCAGGCCATTGAAGATAATCCTTGTCATAAAATTGATATTTCGATCAATTCCGTTCATTTCGTTGATTTTTGCACACATGTCAATAACAAATGTCTCATTTTGCTCGTCATTAATAATTACATAAAAATCGCAGATATTTTTTTTACCTTACAAAAATAAATCGTCTATCACACTAATTGGAGGACTTCGTTGCATAGTATATTCGATAATGGTCCGTATAATATTCCGTAAAAATTTATTCGTTTGATTCATCGATTTTCTATTCGTATGTATATTTGTATGAAAAACCGTGAGAAAAGTCGAAAGCTTGATTTTTCGTTACATCAAAGTACCTCTAAATAATTTTAAATAGTATTAGACGATGAATTATGAGTTAAATATTAATGTTTGATATATATATTTAAAATAGCCGAATAGATATCGACCACGTTGTACACGATAAAATGTTTTGATTCGACAACATCCGCGTCACCGTTTGATTATATCAGATTAGACACATTACTTATTATTGATAAGTCGCTTTTTTAATGATTTATCAGTTTGGTCATTTATTGTATATCGATGAAATAAAGCGGAAATCTCTTGATAATGCCTTGATTCGCGATCATAAAAACGGTATCGTTGTCCTAGCAGACTTCTTGTCTTAAATATATACAGCGAATCTCTTGATAAGTTCATTGAAACTTACCACGGACACAAATATATGAGCAGATAATTTTATATCTTCTCACCTTTAAAATCTTAATCCCGAAGATGTGAGACAAATATAGTGGAAGCAGCATTTTTCCGAGCAGAGGAAAAACACCCGGACCCTATCATGATTCGATCCTAAAGACCTTCCTCTTTATAGGCAACCACTTAAGCCATCCCATACTCCATCGAATCTCAGTCTCTACTCGCTTACATATTCTGTTTTTTCCAGCTGCGCTTTTTCAGAAAACTCTAATTAAATACAAAAAAAACAAGAAATAAAATTATAATCTAAGATGTGGAAATTTGACCCTTAAATTTGCCTCACAAAACAGAAAGTTGAGAAAGCGGAAGTGATTCATAAATAATCTACCTCGATTTATCGGGTATTATTGCTAGCAATAATTATCGATATTGCTATGTTATGAATAGTTAGAAAAGGTTTTAGAAAAACATTCGGTATATAAAAAAAATCGTTCATCATCGGAACTTTTTACGTCATAATTCACTTGACGGGTTGTCTCGGAGCAGGAGGATTAACCGGAGCCAGAGTCAAGGATTCTCTCTTCTTCTTATTCACGCGACGTCCTACATGCAGAACAACGTCCCCAGCCTTTACTGACTTGAATTCAGCGATGGCCTCAGCGTGTGTCATGCCATGAAGAGGTTTCGAATTTATCGATAAAATTTCGTCCCCTGCAAATAGTAAATTTTGCAAAATATTATCTGTATCGTATTTAAATAAAGGGTTTCATAACATTTTACTAAAATTCAGTTTGGATAAATAATATTTCAAATATATAAATTAAATTTCAAATATAATTGAAAAAAAAGAAAAAAATATTTTTCTTTATTGTTAAAAAGTCATCTGTCTAAAAAATGTTCTCATTTTGATTTTGGAAACTAAGATATTAAATATAAGTCTTTACCTTCCTTGACAGTGCCTAGATCGGCGGCTTGGCCGTTAGGGAAAACGGTTTTCACGTAAATTCCCATATTTCCGCGAGGACTATCGGTACCACCGACGATACTGAAGCCGAGTCCCTTGTGCCCGGGACCCTTGAGAAATCTAGCAGTCAATATCGTGAAGGAAGCGCCACCCTTACTGGGTCTCGGCAAGGTACAAAAGCGCGACTCTTCGCCTTCGGCGGCCTCGTCGATGTCTTCGAGTTCCGAGTCCGTGTTCAAGCCTTCATCCGCATCTTGAGTACCCTAAAAAAATTGTACGTCGTGTTTAATCAAAGTAAAAATTTTGGAAAAAAATTTAGACAAATGTCTAGTAAACATTTGTGTTCGAAGCAAAATTATATATTTTAATATGTCAATTTTTTATACATTTTCTAACTTTCTTTCTACACTGAAAAAATTATATTCTCGAAGTAAAAAGATTGTATATATTATAAAATATATCTCTTAACATAGATTGTTAAGTGAATTCTTTTTCTAGCACATTCTATAAATTCTTTAAATATTTTTTGTTAACAAGCGGTCGATTTTTCTATATAATCCGTATATTTTTTTATATAATCCATATTATATCGTTATATTGTCGCAACAATAGTTTTAAATATAGTATGATGTTTTTTAAATCGGCCAACAGAGCCAAAGTACGAAAAATTAATTATTCGGAACTGTATCTCTTGGTTTGAGATCACTAAGTTCCATATATAAATTAATCTTGAAACTTACATATGGAGAAATAGACGCGAAAAATATAGGTCCGAAAAGTCGCTGAAGCGGGAATCGAACCCGCGTCTTTCACTTTCCGGGCGATTGCTCTTACCAACTAAGCTATTCAGACCCTTTCGATCCTATATTTTTCATTTGCCTTTTAGTAGATGTTAGTAAATAACGCCGTGATTAGGCCAAGACGTGAATAAAATCAGAAAGAAATATTTTTATCGGCTCTCAATATTATGAATATAAATATGTGTTTTTTAAATCGGCCAACAAAGCCAAAACACGAAAAATTAATTATTCGGAACTGTATCTCTTGGTTTAAGATCACTAATTTAAAAAAAAACCTCATATTTATATTCATAATATTGAGAGAATTAGAATAAAACAAGTATATTTCGTTTCATTCTAACTTACTGTATTAGTGTGCACTGGTTCAGGAGTGTAGTAATAAAGAATAAACCCAATATATTCGCGCAGAATATGAGTTATACTCTTCGGGTTTGTTCTTTATTGCTGCACTGGTGAATTAATGTACACTGGTGCAATAAGTTAGAGTAAAACAAACTATACTTGTGTCATTTTAATTTATTGAACCAGTTTACCAGTAATAAAGAACAAACCCTTCATACCAGAGCCAAGTAATATAAAAAATATGAATATAAATATAATGTTTTTTAAATCGTTTTTTATATTCTTAATATTGAGTCGATAAAATATTTCTTTCTGATTTTATTCACGTCTTGGCCTAATCACGGCCTTATTTACTAACATCTACTAAAAGGCAAATGAAAAATATAGGATCGAAAGAGTCTGAATAGCTTAGTTGGTAAAAGCAGTCGCCCGGAAAGTAAAAGACGCGGGTTCGATTCCCGTTTCAGCGACTTTTCGGACCTATATTTTTCGCGCCTATTTCTCCATATGTAAGTTTCGAGATTAATTTATATATGGAACTTAGTGATCTCAAACCAAGAGATATAGTTCCGAATAATTAATTTTTCGTGCTTTGGCTCTGTTGGCCGATTTAAAAAACATCATATTTATATTCCTAATATTGAGAGCCGATAAAAATATTTCTTTCTAATTTTAAATATAGTGTTGCAATTTACAATGTATTTATCACTGATTTTAATTTATTAGAAAAAATGAAGTGTTTTGATAAGTGACTTAAAACAGAAGATGAACGATTTAAAAAGGCGAGAAATTCATTTAGACACAGTGTGATTGGACACATGAATCACTCGTGTTAACCGGTGCTTAAAGTAATCAGCACGATCAGAGAATCCTGTGTTCAATTGACCAATAAACAATGTGTTTAATTGAATGCCACCTACTTAAGAGAAGTGTTCACGAATAAGTAACGTATAACAGAATCTTAAATTTAATCGTTCATGATCTAGGTTTCATGTCTTACTCTTAATCTATTTACTAATTTTTAAAGGATTTTCTTCTTAAGATAGGATCCTATTGATGCCTACTTTAGAACAGCGTATAAGTAGGAAATTCATAAAATGAGAATTTTTCAGTTTGCATTTCTTCTTTTTTTTTTTAAATTATTGAGATTTACTTACTTGCCAAGTCTTCAAATTTGCGCCCGAAGAACTTGGGATATTCGCGACGCTTCTGCTGTTGTGTTTTCTCGGGTTCCTTTTACCTGGACTCCTGTCAGCACCCAGACTACACGGTGCATCTTCCTTGTTACTATTGTTCAATGTCGCCTCGCCCGTGTAATTATTCACCTGTCCGCCGACTTTGAAGTCAGTGGACCTCTTCCGCGGTGTCACTCTGGGTATATGTATTTCTTCGAATGACGGTTCCGACTGATTTCTGGTCTTACTGCTCTTCTGGAAATGCACGTTCTCGTACGAGTGATCTCTGGTCTCGGAATTACTTCTAGCCAGATGTCTTCCTGCGTAAGGACTCGAAATCAGATCGTTGCCGGTTTGACGCTGGAAACGTATATTCTCATAAGAATGATCCTGCACACTGGCATCGTGGTTTTCTGAATTGCTCCGTTGAAGAACGGGACGAATTCTCGAACAGCAGGATGACGGCGAGGATCTCGAAAACATCATATTCTCGTAAAGATCCTTCTGCTCGTAACTGTCTTGGGAATAAGTGAAGGCGTCGCCGTTGCCGGTAAGAGGACCGGAACAATGAGGTGAGTTCGGAACGCTGCTCTCCGCCAGGGTTTCCAAATTGTCGTGAAAGGGATAAGGTGGAAGAGATGTGGGCTCGCTCGAATCGTAACGATTTTCCTCAAAGGTCTGACTGGACGACGACGAGGTGAGTGGACTTGGCACGTAAAAGTTGGAGGCGTTGTCCTTTTGCGGGGGAAACACCTCCGTCACGCTAAGAGCCTTCCGCTTCCTGATGCCGGCGTTTATCTTGCTGAACTTGCTACGGAGCACTTGTTGAATATCGGCAATTCCCTTCGTCGTGCCTGCAAATATCCTTTTTCATGGGTTTGTTCTCTATTGCCGCACTTGGTAACTAATGGATATTGATGCAATGGGTTTGTTCTTTATTGCTGCACTGCTAAACTAGTGCAATAAGTTAGAATAAAACAAGTATATTTCGTTTCATTCTAACTTACTACATTAGTGTGCACTGGTTCAGGAGTGTAGTAATAAAGAATAAACCCAATATATTCGCGCAGAATATGAGTTATACTCTTCGGGTTTGTTCTTTATTGCTGCACTGGTGAATTAATGTACACTGGTGCAATAAGTTAGAGTAAAACAAACTATACTTGTGTCACTTTAATTTATTGCACCAGTTTACCAGTAATAAAGAACAAACCCTTCATACCTGAGCCAAGTAATATAAAAAATATGCATTTGTCCCCTTCAGTGTTTATGGCACAAGTTTTAATATATTTTTTAACTTTTGTATTTTGGACAAACAATTACTTTCAATAAAGATATATTGCTAAAGATAAATTCATTAAAGATATTCAATGGAGCTATATCAATTTAGCTTTTTAACCTAGTCTTTTTCAAGTTGATTTACAAAATTTCACCTGGAAGCCTCAGGGAACTGGTTTGTAACAGTTTCTTCGACGAACTCCCATCCTGAAGACTCTTTGCGGCCGGTGAGGCCTCTCTGCTAGCCGGTGTCGATCTTACCGCGTGTATAACCGCGTGATTCGTGCCACTCTGTATCAGCGCCTCTTGCGGCTCCGACGACTCCTGGACGGAGCATCTTCGTCGCAGCTTCCGCCAGCGCTGGCTGATGCTCTTGTTCCACAGGTTCAAGTCTGAAAAGACATAAAGTCTCTCAGGATATATCACTCGCGCGGATTAGGATCATTAATTCTCTCACTCAACTCGAAAATGCACTAGAGAATATCGTTTTAAGAAGATGGAAAAAAAAAAAACTGTTCCGCTTCCCGGTCGTCAGGCTTTAACGACCGGAAACACTTATCTCTTCCCTACACGAGGTGGCACGACATCTTTCTATTTACGCGCAGATAACGAGTTGTTGGTCGAAAAGACGCGTCACGCGGCTTGGATGAATGTAACGGTAATGATAGGACATACTATCGAGAGTAAAACAAAACGAGCGATGACTCGTGCACGAATATGAAGCTTACTGGTCACCGCTCTTCCTCAAACATATTATTATTGCAAAATAGTCTTCAGAGAATGATAATATTTTATTTCATTTTAATGTACATAGATATATGTGTAAATCATTTGTAATAAAAATTATGATATTAATATAAATATAATATTAATTATAATTTAAATTATTTTCAATTATAAATTAATGAATATACAAAAAAATTTTTTATTTAATCACCACAAAAGATAAATCTCACAAAATAAAGAATAAATAATAAATATAAATAAGTAAAATAAAAATAAAGGATTAAACAGAATGAGTTATTAAAAATGATTTTTTTCGTAAATTCTAAAATATATGTTTTAAAGATAAGATTACTTTTAACTAAAATTACTTTTGTAATTTTAAGAGATATTTTGCGACAACATGATTTTGTTTAAAGCGCTTGCGAGTTTCAAGGTCACCTCAAGATTTTTTTTTAATAGAATCATTTTTTTATACATGAATCGATTCTTTTCATTATTCTGCATAAAAGAGCATCAAGATATAATCAATATTAAAAAATCGATATTTATAAAATATTTATAATTTAATTTAACATATAACATAAATCAAAGGCATATATTTTGTAATATAAAAATATTAACGTTTCCAATAGAATCTGTATCTCTAAATTTTTTACTGAATACTGAATAGAATCAATTGATGACAAGTACCAAATTACACGGTGCAATTACCTATCTTTATTGAAATGCAATCATGTGCATTTACCTATATCAATTAATCTCTTTTTTGTTGTAAAATTAGTATTTTAAGATTGATTAAAATAATGATATAAAATAATATACTTATAGTGATTTACTCTGTATTAAATAAATTATGTTACATTTAAGAGGGAATACAATTAATTATACTCTGAAAAGCCAAATTAAGAAATCTACAAAATTGTTAAATTCATTCATTATAATTGCATCACATAATTTTCTATAAAATAAAAACAAAATATAAAGATAAAAACAGAGGTAAAGAAAATGACTTATAATGTCTTGCTTTATCAATGATAAATGAGATCTTCGATTATCTCTTATTTTATCAAACAAAATTTTTTCTAACTACTCTTCATTTTTAAATTTAAATTCCTATCATCACACTCAATTGAGTGTAAATAAATAAAATCTTTATCTTATCAGGTAAATTACAAGAAAACTCATTTCATAATTTCATCGACTCACTTAATGCGCTCACAATCACAAAATACATTATCGAATCCATAATTACAATTCAATATAGTCTCCATATCCTCCCCGTAACATCCACGTGGCTGGAAGATAATGAAACCAGAGCCGCGAAGTGACGTTAATTTCGCGGGGTTGCCTTCTCTCCCCTTCTTTCGTCTCGTCGCACCTTGAACGGTAACCTTGAGGAAAGTCGGAGCATAACGTGTCTCGCATCACGTGTCCGTTACACACGCGGTGTCATGAATTATCAAAGACGAACCTTTACAGGTTCAGGTCGAGTTCACGAAAGAGAATTATAATATGGCTATTAAATCCACGATATATTTCGTCCGACGTGATATACCGACGATACCGGGTGATGCACCACTGACGCCGGTTGCGCTTATCCTGACGACGGGGTTACCGTCATCCTGTGTAAAACGCACTTTCACTTCTCTCGTATCTCCCCGGATGCGTCTGATTTTACGAGGCGCCGACCGGACGTTGCACTCTTTTTCGACCACCTTGTACATAAACGTAAGATGACGCGCTTACGTCCAGGTGCCTAATCATCTTCGTAAACATCAATGCAAACATATGTATAAAATTATATTTTTCGGTGTTGAGTTCTAAATTACTTTCAAAATTTTTTACACAACGATCGCCAGGATTGAATCTGAATCAGAAAGTTCTATGAAATTAGCAGATATTTTTCTAAGAAATAAAGTCTCCCATATGAAATTTGTATATATAGATATATCTCAGTAAATTCTAGGAGTATTTTTCTGGAATATAGAGTGGACATATATAGTTTGAAATGAGGCAGAACTCATAGAATCTCTCTCTTTCAATCCTGAAATGTTCCAATCTTATCTCAAAAAGCGGCGCAATAAACACGATTGGAGGTGAAGTTGTGTATTCATAAATTTTTTTCCAATATAAAAAAACTCATCATCGCTCCAAATGTATCTGATACATGAGGTTCTGTAACGGCTTACAAATAGAACTAATTTTTAAAAATTATATATTAAATATTTTAAGTTTTTACAGTTCATCAATCCTTTGAAAAAATAGGTGAATAAATTAAACGCGATTAGAAATATTCTTCTTTTCTTCAGCATTGTTTATTTATTTCACATTAGTACTCCATCACCACATTATATGCGCATTTGTCTTCAAGATAGCTTAATCCGAGATCTCGACAAGATGGTTTAATCCCGGAACAAGTCGACTCCATTAATAGAGGCTTAGGGGGAGTGTTGCATTAACATTTGCCGGCATCACGGTATGTTCCATGCAAATTAGTATCGATTGTAGAGAGTGCGGAAAAAGCTTTGTCGTTGCAGATATTATCATCGGAAATTTCAATCTCCCTCCTGTCTCAACAACATCCTTTACATATGAGTCAGAGATTGCAGAATTTAGACTAGTTCAATAATAATTTTCTCCCAAAATAAAACTCAATATATTTTTGGCTGCGTTTAGGTAAATTATTATTTATATATTTTTTTTAATATCACATTTTTAAAACGGTTGACTCTAATTCGAGTCAAAGTGAGTACTCTTCACGAGTTCATATCCAGGTGATTTTTCCTCGGCAAAGAGGGGTTGAATATGTATTTCTCCAAATACCAAATGTGATCATTCTCCTCTGCCATTTTTTTTATAAATTTATTTTCCGAAGATCTTTTCAAAGATTATTTGTCACAAAAGCACAGTCACATTCATTTCATTTTTTTTTTATTTCAGCATAAATTTAAAAAACTTGTATATCCGCAAATAACTTCATTCTCTTCGCGATTTTTCATTAAATCATTTCTTTCCTCTTTATTTTCCTCGCATATGATTTCTCTTTTCGTAATATAAACTAGAAAAGTTTATTCTCATGGAAATAGAATTATTTTCCCATTAACTTCTCCGTGCAATTTTTCTTCGAAAAAGAATAATTTCTCCTTCCTCAATGCCATTTCTTCACAGAGAGAGACTCGACAAGCAATAACATTTTCTCACACTAGGAACTTGGAAAGCTTGTACTCGTCCGGGTGTATCATCATCTGCAGCTCTAGGCGCAGTAATTCGGCGTAGATGTAAAAAAAGCCGACGATGTAAGCCAACATTTCGTCTCGGAAATCGCGGGAAAATCACCGCGATCGATCGCCGCCAGTGATCGTGCTGTCCCAGCAAACACCAAGTAACAATTATATAATTGTTAGTTATAATTCCCACTCAACAATATAAATGCAATATAACACACGTATTATATTGCATTTATATTGTTGAGTGGGAAATTATAACTAACAGTTTTATAATTGTTACTTGGTGTTTGCTGGGGTTGTTGTCACGATCGTCAATTGTCCCACGATCGTCGATTGTTCCACGATCGTCTCCTCAAAACCACCTCGGAGACGAATACCTTCTCGCGCAATTTCGCAACGAGCGAAGTTCCTTCGTATTTCGAAAATCGCAGGCTATGTCATCTACGCCAATCCACACCGTGCGCGATCTCGGCACAGACTGGAAGGCCACCACTCTCGGACAACTTCACGTTGCCATGTATTAGGCGTCACACACGTGTGCGTGCCACACCGGCGTGTACGCCACACGTGCGCAACACTCAGTACCTGTGCATACACGGTGACACCGAAGAAAAATTCTCGCGTTCAACCGATTAAAGACAGTTTCAATTTGATGCCAATTTCAGCTACTACCCCCACCATTATGAAATGTATTTCAGTTTATGTAAAATTATGTAATATTAAAGTATAAAATATTTCATAAATTTTTTTAGTCTTATAATTTATGTCTTATGCTAAAATAAAGCAAATGAATAAGTCTTATGCTGAATACTGCAAAAAATTAATTTATATAAAAAAATTGGAATGAGTCCATTTAAGAAAACTATACTATGCTTTATATCATTTTAAAAAGCAAAAAATAATTTTAGGACAATATTACAATATGTCAAAACCTACCACTTATTTTAACTAATACATTTTTTCTAAAACCCCATGATTTCCAAATATTTGCTCTTTAAGATTAAAATAATAAATCACCCTGCATTGAGAAATACTTTAAACCATCGAAAAAAAACATATTGAAAAAAATCACTTTTAAATATAAAAAAATAAATAAAAGAATAATTTTGTAAAAATATAAGTGATTGAGTACCTTGTAAGATTAATGTTTAGAATTAAAAAAATTAAATATTATAATAAAAATATTTTTTATTTGAAATAAAATATTATTTCTCATTTTTTTAAATTTAATCCGAAATTTCGATATAAAAAATTATTAAAAAATTGCGAAAAAAGGTTGTGCATTGATATTATTAATTATAAATTTCGAGAAATTTGATTGGAATAATCAAAAGGAAAAAAGAAGCGATGGCTTTTTTAAACAGATCACCGTGTACATGATTGCAGACAGATTGTGTACTGATTGTGGGAACTGTGTGTTAAAGCGGTCTCTTTCACTC